TTGCTGTTACTTTTTATGTTTTTTTGAGGAAACCACGCCGGCATTCAAGATGTTTGCTTGATATGTGTGTGTTGTCACTTCTCTAAGTATTGTCCACCGCATTGTTGCTAGCTGATATTTTCCTCTTTGTATGTGAAATACATATATCTTCTTATGTAACTATTTTTTTCTGAATAATCCCTCTGTATTAATGCTTTCTTGGCGCTAGGGGTACTTTTGCAAACAAATATATATAAATAAAATGCTGTCAATGCGTAGACACTATTATAACTGCCTGATCATAGCTGCTTGAAACGCATTAATGCCGTGAAGGAGCCTGGTGACTTGTTTAAAACCCAGCAGACACTCAAACTAGGAAAAGTGTACAGATCGTTAATTATACTTTTTTAAATGCATTGCATTGATTGGCACAAAGATGTGAAGGTACAAAAGTGGACGAAAATGAAACAAAGTGCTGATAGAAATTAAACCTGGGACCTTCGGATATAAAGATTGCATTATTGACTTTTTTATCATTATTTCAATGATAATATTGCTTACCGCATTTTTGAACATCCTGAAGCGTTCTTGCATTTACTCGTTGTGATGCCTTTAACAGTGAGTGCTTTTGGTAATCAAGCACATAGATATGTTAAACGGAGGCCGCGTTCAGTGAATCAGTGTGACTCTGTGTGCTTGGAGTATTGATACTTTAGAACACAGTACTTAGTACGTTACTACCCAAAGTCGTTATTTTGTACTTACAGGGAATAGCCCCAGAATATCAAACACAACTGTAAATGTTGTCGACCTGAGCTGCGCGCCCCGCGGCGGTGGTCTAGTGGTCAAGATACTCGGCTGCTGACCCGTAGATCGCGTGCGGCGGCTGAATTTTCGATGGAAGCGGTTGTGTTGTAGACCCGTGTGCTCAGATATGGGTGCACGTTAAAGAACCCCAGGTGGTCGAAATTTCCGCAGCCCTCTACTACGGTGTCTCTCCTAATTATATCTTGGTTTTGAGACATTAAACACCACATATAAATCAATCAACCTAAGCTGCGCGTCATGCGGAAAAAACTTGAACAAGCTGCAATACATGGAAATCACCTTGGGAATTTATATGAGGTTGCCCCCCCCCCCCCTTTTTTTTTGCGGAGAGGCTGGGACAATACCTTGCCGTGAGTTGCATTGCTACATTTAAACCATAAAACAAGTGCTTCCTTATATGTCTTCAGGATCATTAGTGACTGCCTTTCTTGGAAGGCTTGACCTCAAGCCATCATTCTGAAACTCCACACTACGGGTACTGCTACTAGTTCTGTAACAGTGCTTGGAATGGTAACCTTACACGTTAGTAGCTGTTCTGTTTATCTGCACCAATAAATGAACGAACTCAAAATGTGTATCGAATGACGGTGACTTCATAAAAACTATCCTGATGGAAAAAAAAAACTTGTCTGTATACACGCCAATACTTAAGGTTTGTGTAATGTGCCTCTTTTAATAAAGCTATCTAGCATCGCAGCTTGTTCTTTAGGATCACACAGCGAAATACGTGAAAGCTTGCGTATAAAATATAGCGACGATATGTTGAGCAGTTTGCTCCTACTCTAGTGCACCATGAGAGGGCTTCCGAAAGTTGGATCACCTGGCATGTTTTAACGTTCACTGACATTGCACGGAATACAGACTTCTATAGTATATCACCGCCGTCCAAATGTGAACGGCAAAGCGCATTATATAGACTCATGCCGCAGCAGTCCTCAGAAAGCGTGCTTCACATTCGAATTTTCACGCAATAATTTGGATAATACACTTTCAGCCTCGCATGATGCTATAAACAGTAGCTATTTTTTATCTGTCATCCGGAGCTCAGTAAACTAAACTAAATATAAAAAAGCAACTATCGTTTTATACTTGGTTACTCACAACGAAAATCTGCAAAGCAGAGTCCCATACAAGGCTTTTCGTTTGTTGTTGTTAAAGTGGAGCCCACCAAACAAACATGCTCAATCCCACGGTTGTTTGTAAGTCATCTGGTCGTTTTCAATCTCAGCGTGTTGTTGGAAGGCTATCACGACCCTATAACTATGCGAACCTCATGCAGCTGCAGCGGGCATGCCACGCATACCACCGCCAGAGAATTCACACTGGCCAGGCTCCTTTTCCTGTACATCGTGTGACTCAGGGGATTTACTCGGTGTCATACGACATTCGCAGTGTCCCCACAGTCTTGATATTTAGGGACAATAATGCAAGTTCTTTTTTATAAAATAAAAAAAATTGGCACAGCTTACTTTTGGGAAACTTAGCGGAGACAAAGAATGCAAGGCTCTCCGTCGCTTGATTCATTAGTATAGAGATGCAAAGTTTCACGTTCGTGCGGTTAGGGCAACATAGCAGTGAGCACTGAGGCGTATCAATACAGAAATGCGCATACCGGAGCTTCCATATAATAAAATAAAAAGAGCAGTCGATTTCCCACAAAAGGTTGGGAGACATCCGGTGCAATAAACAAATAACCCAATAAAAATTCATCTCAACCAGCCTTTTTAATTATGGTACTCAATGCATAAATAAAACAATTCGACTCCTTTGCCCCTATGTGGAGTACCTCGTCACACGTTCGCCTCAACGAATTCCCTGTATAGAATAACGGAAAGCTGGGAATGTTTGTACGCATTCGTTCTGAAAATAGACCAGGCGTGCAAACATGGTCAGTGTTTGCACACCCCGTCTTTTTCAGAATAAATTCTCTGTCATCACTTTCCCCATGGCTTCACACTAAATAACATCCCTTTGACAAACACCACCAAGAGGACGCTTGATTCAGTATTGCATGAACAAATCTAACAGATAGTGATTAGTGTTACCTAATGGGATGTCTGATAATTAAAGAATACATTGAGGCGTGTCACCTGCGCAGAAGCACAATATTATTCCGAGGTGCAGTGACGCAGGTGATGTGGATTAATTTTGACTTTCGTGCCACGGCACCTAATGCAAATAAAAGGCACATTTTCAATTGGAACCTCGAGTAAGTGCAGTCGGTCAGACCGATATTCGAAGTCACACTTTTGTGCTTTGCATTACAACGCTTTGCTTCAGTGAATTCACTGCAGCTCACTGTAATCCCATCGTTACTTTCCTGCCATATGTTTTCTAGCTAGACGACCTTCCTGAGCCGATGCCCAATTCGCGCCTCTAGTGGCGTTATATAAGAAGTACTATGTGTAATTAACCAATACGCACTACCTAATGTTCGCAAGTGCTCTTCGATTGGCTACCTTCAAATCATTGCGATTACCAAGACAACCAGACTTTTTTTTCTTTAGAAAAATATTATGTAACAGTATTTTGTACATGCACGCCCTCATGATCAAGATACGTTTTGGCCCCTATACAGCAAGCTACCTGAGTGCTAACGACGGTAAGCATTCGAGCTATCCAGTTATTCTTAGGTGCTCTAAAGATCCAAGTGCACCATAAAAACCTCTAAAAACTATAAAAAGGTTCTAGAATTTAATAACAATCATACACACGCGGAGATCTGTACTATAGGCGAACTATCCTCTCCTCACACACCAGAAGTTGGTAAATATTACATTTGTACTTGTTCCCGAAAACATAGGAACACACGCACGAACATATACAGGAAAAAGTTGCGGACTCCACTCAGCCCTCCACCCGGCCGCTTAAAAGTTTTTCTAGTGATTCTCATGGCGCCCATGATCTCCACAAATGATTACGTTGATGATGAGGATGATTATGATGGCCTTTTGTGGATGGCGCTTACCCACAGAGGGGGACGGGCCAAGAACCGGGCGGCAGGATACTTAAATGAAACTAAAATGAAAGTGAAGCCAATCTGCAAAAGTAGTTAAAAAATAATACTACCAAAAAAATGTTTGCTGAGCAAGCAGTCAAACCATCTGTTGTTTTTCATAGACATAACTACGAATTACAAACTAAAGATCTGAAAAGGTTGGGGTTCACTCGCACGGTAATCTTTTAGTTGCGTTGATGTAATCAAACACAGTGGAGCATATATCCCTGTGGCAGTAACCAAATGAAGTTCCGCCAAGTCATAAAATTACTGGTAGAATTACTTGTATTCCTAGCTTTTGTAATGGGGCTACTAAAAATCTTTTTCTCTGATAAGAATAATGATGGCAGACTAAAAATAAATGTTCAATTGTTTCAATTTTGTTGCACCAAATGCATAGCTGTGACGCCTTGAGTCGAGCTTTGTTAAGGTAATAATTTAGTTGTGGAACTGCACAGCGCAATCTGGTATAAGTGACCTCTAACTGGCGAGATACACACCACTGTTTATTCCAGCAATAGCTCAAATGCTCGAAATTTTTGAATTTATCCCAATTACCTTTTCCCCATTGTAGGCAAGCATTTCGGAACCTTAGCGCTGTCACGTAAGCCGTATCTGGCAAAACTGGGATGGTGGGCTCACCCAGGGATACTGCTGCTAAAGAGTCCGCCATTTCGTTCAAATATAATCCGCAGTGGCCCGGTACCCATAGCAAATGCAGTTTTTTTACGTTTTTCGGTACTAAATGCCGAAACGTAATCATCAGCTCTGCATTTACTGCCGCAGAAAGTGCATTACAAACTGATAACGAGTCTGTAATGATAACTGCTAATGATTCGCTTGAGGGCAATTTGCGTAAGGCAAGGACAATGGCCAATAATTCTGCAATGAATACCGGGGTATAATCTGGGAGTCGAATCGAAAAGGACCAGTCCAAAGAAGGAGAGAAGATGACAACCCTAGCCTTTTCTTTTGACAAAGATGCATCAGTCGCAATGATATTGCTTATCTCTAGGTGAGCTAGATAATCTGCTAACTGGTCATTTAAATACCTATGTGCCAATTGTTTCGCGTTATTCGTTGATAGTGCGGTCTACAAGTGTAAGCTTAGAATGTGAGCTGGATGAGCGCTTTCAAGATCACCAAGATTGTGTGAACGTAGCTGGCTTGAAAGCCTACTGTCTAACACCTGCAGGTGGCGCAGCTCCAAGACACATGCACGGAACTTCCGGAGCTCGACGTGACAAGAAACGGGTCCAAGATCATTTTACACCTGGCAAGGCCAGCCTCTCCCAGTCAAGTGAACGAGACAAGCTGCCTGTGCTATCCAGTGCTCAAAGATGAACAAGATTTTTTAAACTCCACTTGTGACAATGCCACTTTCAGTAGTGCTACCTGCTGGAACGTAGAACCAGATCGGGACGTAAACATCGAGATTGACATGGACGAAGAAAATTTGTCTGACAATTCTTCCATTTGCCATTTCTCAAACTGCGGAAAGCAGAACTGCAGCATTTACGATGGTGAGTCAGGCAGGTTTCCTACGAGCATGAACGCTTCCTTTTTGATTAACTGATAATCGTTGCCTTCATCAGCACTACATTTTTTTCTCATCTTTTTAGTTTACTTCAATATAATGCAGACCTTCTCGGTCCAAACAGAAATGGTAATGCAATGAAATAAATTAGTTCAATGCTATAGATGGCATGTTAACAACAGTTTCAAAGACACAGTCTTGAGATCACACGCGAATATATTACGAAATTGTAATACAATAATTAGAACAAAATTATTACTGTTTTCTTAGTAAAAGATTAAGGCGTTGCACAGTTTACCACAGATAATGTCAGACTATTCTATTATGCGATTGTTGTAAAAGCAGTTTTTCTGAATGTTGTTGTGACTTTCACGACAACCATATTGTCTTGTTGTGGTTCGTTCTTGAGGAGGGTCTTATGGGCTCAAGAAAATCTTCTGTTCTGGATATTTTGTGATGCCCATGATAGACATGATACAAAAAATTTAGTTTGGAAATCATTCGGCGCTGATTAAAACAACTCAGCCCGCTTTTTGTTTACGCAGAGCTGTAGCCGAGGTATGTCTGAAACAACTTTAAAACACAAATCGGTCTGCTTGATTTTAGAGTCGCTCAATTTTTCAATGAGACATTTGTGATGGCGACTGCAAATTGTGTGGGAATATTCTAGTACTGATAAAACTAGTGTCTTTTACGCGGTTAGTTTAACCTCAGAAGCACATTCCTTAGTCTTCTCTCGACACACAGCAGCTGTCTTCACACTTTTGAAAAAATAGCCGCAATGTGGGGCTGCCAACTTAGGTTTAGTGGTAATGTATCTGTCTAATATTTTAAATGATTACTGTTGGTGATTTCCGGATTCGTCTTTTTCATGGGAGATTAAGAGGTTTTCTTTATTTACAAAACTTACCCTACACTTTCTTTGTGTTTAGAGTCACTCCCCATTCAGAGAACTATGCCTGAATCTTTTGAAGCCAGTGATTAAGACGATCCTGGTCCTCAGTTTGACTTACCGTCATGTACAAGATGCAGTTATCGGCGAAAAGGCATAGTTGAATGAATGGGTTGACGCAAAAAGAAATGATATTCTTATAGATGTGAAATAGAATTGGCGTGGGCCTGACAAATAATTTCGGTGAGCTTGTGGATTCCTTTGACAAATATATCCATGAGAATTCTCCTATGAAAACGTCATCCTGCCTAACTCAGGCCCTTCCTCATTTTGATATGCTTATTCCATATCAGCAATTTTGTGATACGATATGCTTCTCGCTGATGCATAGGTTCGCTAGAAAAGCCAGCACTATGTAGGCTTGATTATCTCACTATTATTGCTTTTGTGCTACTTCGATAAGACATCGTACCGGTTCCAAGTTTCTATTTCTGATGATGGCTCGTACGTTCCAGAATATTGTTCATTTACTTACGCACTCATTAGGAATTGTTCATATATAATTTAAAGATTCGGTTTCAGAACCTCTCACCAAAGGGCCAAACAAAATAAATAATGAGTTGCACTCATTTTTAAGATTTTTCTAAGCATAAGCGTGTGGAGTGCTCTTCGGCGTGGAGGGGGAAGGGTGGCAAAAATGTCATTGTGGCACACATCTTTCTCTGCAATAGTCAAATGTGAACGGAAACAGCGTACAAGATGGTAACAAGCAAACCTGTACACAAAGGAGAGGTCAGGATGCCACAAATCCTGTCCGTGTAGTGTGCATGTTTGGAAGCTTATTGTCTTTTATCATAAAGACTTAGCCACTAAGAAGGCTTTCTGCTCTCGAAAGATAATGCGCTTCCCAGCGACGGCAAAATAAAACAAAACGATTACGTGTTACTCTTAAGCATTTAGCTGTCTTTGGTTAATGGCCTTGTTTGGTGAAAAATCCTGCTTGGTCTAGAAAACCGATCTTGAAAAGCCACTGCTAATATTAAAAGTGTGCGTGATGATAACCCTTCACTTTACACAATGATGAGAGACGTTCAGCCTAATAAAGGTGTCTGGAAGACTTGACCATCCGTCAGATGATTAGAAAGGCTGGATCCTCTCCCTCCTCACTTCGATGCCAGTGTACAGAAACATCTTCGAACATCTGGAGACAAAAACTTACATGCTCACATTTTGACTACTATGTTACACTTTTAAATTTGGTTTTGCACTTTCTTGGCAGTAATTACGAGTTTTCTCTAAAGAACCAAGCCCTAATGATACAGTCGAAGGCTAAAGGAAGCATCCGTGATAGCCTTGTTTACCTGCCGCAACTTCGGACAATGAAAATAAATTTTTGTGTTTTTTACGCAGCAACCAAAGACGTCGCATCAATCAGTAACTTGAACTTCACGTTGGTGAACCGATCCACAGCGTTCGTATCCTGGAGCGTTCATCATCCATACGGGCTTGGAGTCAGCGACTTTCACTTGACATGGTGCACAGAACAAGCCAATTGCTCGTATGATGCTACTTGCCTCGGGAGTGGTTCCCAATCTCGAGATCGCAACGTGACGGATACGAATGCGTTGATAGGAGAGTTGAGCCCAGCTACAAGCCTGAGGCTACGGGTGTCACCTCTCGGCATTCAAGAGAACTTCTCATTGGGGTGCATTGAGGTGCCCCCTGAAGGTACGAATTTCACAAGTATTCAGGCTTGTTCAGAACTTATGCAAATGTAATTCGTGCACCGTTATACTTTGCCCACTCGTTGTTTTGAACGACGAAAGCCGTAATCTCATCTGTTTTTTTTTTCTCCTTATTGACAGTACTTCGCATCACATGACAGGGCTTTCTGTCGGTTTTTTTATTTTAACAAGAAGAAAGGTATAATGCTAGCGCAGAAACACGATATAGGTGGACTCAATAAAATATTATAATACCGAAAACTGAGCTAGTTAGTGGGATGGTAAAGAAGTGGGCAAACAAACACAGCCACAAAAGAAGCCGAGACAACACGAACGCCCCAGCCAATGCAGCTGGCATAGATACCATTGCGATAGCGCAATGAAACACAACACACAAGAATAAACAGACGAAAACAGGCGCTTCTTGTGTTGTGTTTAGTCGTGGTCTCACGATGGTTTCTATGTCAAAGGACCTACTCGCCCAACAATCAACTCTTTCAGGGCAACTAGCTGTTTCAGATCAAGTTCAGAGCAACTGGCTTTTGCAATATGCTTGTGTTAGCTTGATTTCTTGCGTCGTCCATCTTCGCACGCCAAGTGTATTACCACCCTTGAAACAACCTCGGCGAAAGATGCTTACTTGGAGAGCAGTAGAGCCTCCGATCAATGAACCTATTGTGCATAAATGCCCACCTTTACGTGGTGAAATGGGTCATAAAACGGGCGTTTTTGTAACTAGCAATCGTCTAGGGCTATATGCAAAACCATTTTAGCGAAGCAGAGATCTGCAAGTCTGTCAAACAGTAGCGTTTACGTTACGCTCAGACGAGGCTTTGTTGAGATATCACTTGTGTCTTGATGTGTAATCCTTTAATTTTTACGCAACCAACCTTTTATTTATAAGTCTCATTAGTCTCGAATTTGTGTCGTCACTACTTTCTAGAATCTTGCTCCAGTCAGTGTAACATAAGAAGCGCCCTGAGGTATCGGCCATTCAGTAAATATTTATTACTGAAAATTCGTCTACACTCGAATGCAGGAGCTGTATAAAACTTTGTACGTAACAACTCTACTGGAGGAGCCTATCAATATTTACTACAGGGAAGTGAAAATCTCGTGCATATTTCAGAACCTGAAAGCACCGAGACATAGAAGCTTCCCTACATGGACTCGATGGTCTTCGAGTGCAATGGAAACAACAGGATTCTTTTAACGCGTCACTCGATCACTATGAGGTCCGCTACTGCTTGAACGAAGAAGAAGAACGCTGTCCTGAATACCAAGAGCGCTTCCTAAACGACTGCATGAACACTGTATTCGAAGCTGAACTGAACATGAACGGCTACAGACATACCTGGTTTGAAGCCAAAAAGCGCAGTGGTTCGTTGGAGTGCGGACGAAAAGGCGATACCCAAGCGGAGTAGTAACGAAATCGAAAGAGTCTGTGAGCTGCTTTAAGGCACCTGGTAAGTGATTTGTCAGTAATATTCCTTGTTGTTTAAAGATTGTGGCTCGAATAACAGTCGAGCAGTATGAATTGAGCTGAAAGATTTTACAATATGCAAATATGATATTCCTTGCACACAAAACTATCTCTCTGTACTCATGCACATTCAACGCGGCTAAATAAGCACGCCTTTATTGCCCACGAAACATAAATAAATCCGCCACTGGCTGATGGCATGGCTGAAGGCGTAATGGCGCACCTTGATAATTTTTCTACCGAAAGAAATAAGCACCCTCGAATCTCTGTGTTCAGTTCACTTCAGTTTAGCTTATGACACAAGATTGCGTTAGGCCACCGTGACCTATACTATTCACGTGCAAATTAATTGTAAGCCAGAAAACACAGCAAATGTATTGAAAAAAATTAGGACTCTTAAAGCTCTTTAAGGCTTCGTCCTTTAAGGGTTGAACGCGATAGCCACATCATTACTAGGGCGTACTTCAAACTCTTGGTGCATGAAACCTTTTCTAATTCACTATGCACAACTACGTGGCCTTAAGGGAATAAGCATAGTAGCATGTGTGCGTTTCGTAGATGGGTACCGGCTTTCAACTACAGAGCCATTATGATAATTTTATATTCTGACGCCTATTGACAATGAACGCTTGTACAACGCTTTAATACTGCAATATTTCATGCTGAATTGTGAAGCATGAATACAGAACACGCGTGTTTGTGAAACGTGAAAGCTACTTTCGCTGCATTTATAAGGAAGGGAAGTTCTTTTCACTGTTTTCAAAAACAGACCAGTGGCTGTGTGGTAGAACATCTGCTTCCCAAGCAAATGACCCGGGTTAGATCCCCACTTGGACCCAAACAACCCTGGTTTGGTCCCCACTATGCTCCAATTTTTGTATCATATATTTATTTTATTTGCATTGTTCTCAATTTTTCGGCCACGCATAGAATGATTTTTTGCTCACTATCGACTGACGCTGACGCCGAATCAGGAATTTTCGTGCAACGAGCTCTTTAATGCTATTGCGTTAAAAGTTACTACAGCAGGACTGAAAGGCCCCTGAAAAAGCAATTTGAAGTGATTCGCAAGCCCGACCGACGACTTTATTACGAGCGGTATCTCTACAGCAAATAAAAAAAAATCTGCCGGTTGATGTTTGAGGACGATTGCTCAGCATGTCTTACGAATAAAAGAATACCCGTGCATCATTGAAAGCACTAACAATTCTGAGACTTCACCACATAGATTTCATCAATGACGTCATCAGATTGCCTCATCGCTTGGTTAAAGGTGGGCCGGTCTTAGACATAGCCGAAGACCTCGTTAGGTGCATAAAACTTTATGAGGGGGTTGTCAACCAAGAATATACTTGGTTATCAAATACAAATATTCAGTGAGAAATGATAACTTCATCGACAGGCAGGGAGGTCAACCAGGGTCATAGCATCCGGTTTGCAAACCCAGAAAAAAGGGCGGAGAGAAAGTGAAAGAAATAAGGAAAGAAAATTGAAGAATAGGGAAGGTACGCAAACAAAAGGATGAAAAATGTGATAAAAAAGGAGACCTAGTAACTGTTTATTAGGCCACTACCACGCAGAAGAAATTCTAAAAGACCTAATTCAATTTCAAAGAGTGTCTAGTAAATGCACAGGTGAGGGCATAAGCTTCCGCTTTCGCTCTTGTTAGCATTAGCTGTAGGAACTGTAAGACTTTGTTATTCAGAAACCTCCCAACTATTACACGCTGCCCAAAATAAATATGCATTTTTTGCGCAGCTCCTGGAAACATCTCGGGCCTCCATGTCCAAGACATCACCAGCAGGAATGCCACTGTGCTGTGGACGTTTGAGCAAGACGGTTACCAAGAGCTGAGACCCGCTTCCTACAGCGTCACGTGGTGCGTCGCGAGTGAGCAGAAGTGCCCCTTGAATGCTTTAGTGAGCACACTGTGCCATCAGCCTTACCAGGCCACTGTGAAAGCAAGCCAAGGTGCTACCCATCATTCCAGTATAAACATTGGGAATTTGCTACCATGGAGTGCGATATCGGTGAAAGTGCGGGCTATGTACATGAATGGAAGTGACCATGTCGCTCTTGGTGATTCAGGCTATCTTTGCTTCGAGACACTCGCAGAAGGTGAGTCTGCTATTTCGGTGCCCTATTTTTCGGTCTTAAGTATTTTACCGCTTGCTGTCGTGTAACAATGTTATTCATGACTTCGTGGCATAAAATTACAATTATGTGGGTGTTGCCTGTCTTTACCTTTATTCGTATTAGGCAGAACTTTTCTACCATTGGTATTGAAATGCAAATGAAGAAACAGACTATAAAAAGGCTATGATGGTGAAGTGAAGGCCAAAGAATAAAACAGCGTGAATCAGTATAACATCGGAGGGTAGAGTGTTAACATTGGAGTAGAAAAATATTCCTGTATATCAAATTACAGAGAGTGTAGCCAGTGCCATAAAGGTGCACATACTATAATGAAAAATCTTTCCGCACTTGGTTAAGCTGGTTGAACGCAGCATTATTTACGAATATGACAATTTATGTCAGCAGATTCCTGCAAAACTGGGCAACGCAAATGAAAAGACACCATTTTCATCCTCAAGACTGTAGCATACACCGCAAGAAATAAGCTAAGGCTTCGTACGTGACATGTTGTTTCATACTACAAGATCATATTCATTTTTTATGTAACTCTCATCTCCTGGTGGAACTTCACCGAACGGATTTTTAGCATTATATCTTTATGTGCTTCGAAGCCGTGACAAATTTATCTTCGTACAGCAGTATGCCTACCTCTCAGCTGATTTGCGTCTGAATTAATTTTTTTTGTAGCTTCAAGCTAGAGGTAAGGTGATGTCATAATTTCCTTTTTCTTAGGGCGCCAGATTCAAAGCAGGCAAGAGTAAAGACGCTTTTCACCGCTTTACACATTCATGGATAAATAGTTTTCACAGTACCGATATCTTGATAAGTAGGAGTGAAAATTGGAAGCTGTTGCCTTCTTCATCTCGCCATTTTTCAGCTTGAGAAAGTTTCTAATTTTCGAGAGTTGCGAAATAAAAAAAAAACACTCCAACTATGCATAATAAGGTGGCAAGGTAACGTACGTACTGCAACATGACATTTAGCTAGCTTATTGAGCCTAAACTCAGCCACTCTAAACAACCGAGAGCATTTTTACACAACTGAACAAATTAAGCAATGCGTGCGCTTTTAGAGGACTAGGAGGAGTAGTTTCGTGAACGTGGCGTTGTTTGCATAAATGCATAGTCGTTGATCTTGTGGTAATTATCCGGTACTAATAATGCAACACAAGGACAAATTAATACACATTTAGTATTGATTAGTGTGACCTGATTTGAAACTGATTCATAACGGGTGCGAATTCCGCCAATTTTTAGCGCTGACAAGTGGTCATCTCCCATAGTCCCACTCCATCTGATCACGTGGTCATACAATGAGATGGCGCAAGTTTCAGTTGACATTTCATCTGCTCGGCGCGCACGGGCATAGGCATCATAGAGTTTCTTAATATACACTAGAGGGAACTCTGGTGCTAGTGTCTACAGGAGCTGCAACGCATGGCGCTTCAGCGAGCATGGGAATGATGGGTACTACACACATTTGTCTAATCTTCGTACTTATGGCCTGCTTCTGGCTTCGCTTGTGTTCGTGGGCCTTGGAGCTGTGTTCTCACGAAACAAAAAGGCAGCAAATGGTCAGTGGTTGTTTTTCACCACCTTATCTTTTAAAGCTTAACTTTTCAAACCAGGTCACGAAGCTCAACAGGTTTCATTCTTTTCTTTAAATTGAAACCGTAACCAGCAATAAACGAAGCCGCAAGTACGATTCGCCGCCCGCAAGTACGATTCGCCGCCCGCAAGTACGAAGACTAGGCAAATGTGTGTACTACCCATCATTCCCATGGTCGCTGAACGATCGCAGTGCCAGAGTGCCCTCTAGTTAATTTTAGGAAACTCTATGATAGCCATGCCTTCGCCACCCCTATTGTCATCGCCACCGTCATTAGCGTCCACGAGTGACGATGATAACACTGAACAGTACGAAAACATGGCGATTCATTAGGACATGAGGCATATATGGAGAGTATGTAACAATGATTATGGAAAAAGGCGATTTTATATAGGCATTGGTCGCGATTCATATAAATATGCGGAATTAATTAGGAGTGGAGAATTATGATTATCTAATCAGTGAATGTGAGGAATATGGAATCGCGGCAATGCTATACAAAATCACAGCGAAACATTCGCGGTTCAATCCTCTCCAGAAATGTGATTCTGAAATCCACGTTGGATCGAGCACCGATGACGGAGCGGTGACGCATGCTTTGGCCACGTAGGTTGGTAACACACATGAACGCTGTGTGTGTGTCTCTTGTTCGCATCGATTCGTGGCTTAAGATAACTACTTTCATGCTCACGACTCCACTAAAACTTACCCAAGGCAGCACAATGAAAAATCAATAGTACACCGACAGCTCTACATGAACCAAGCAAAAGAACGCAAGTGAATAGATTGCCAAGGCAGCTGCAACAGTATATTATACATGTTTACACTGCGATGACAACAGTGCCAATGGCTCTAAAATTGTCGATGTCATCGCAGCTCGCTCATCAACAATGAGCTCCTGGAACATAGTCTATAAGAGCATGCTGAACACGTCAAAATACTGTTAGTGTAGCATTTCTGGGAACGCACCGTTTCGGTCTATGTAATGTTTTTTTGCTCGATTTGAATAACTTCTACGTAACTGACACCATTCACACTTGTGTAAAAAAGCTCATACATACGAGCAATGCAACAAACGTCATGGCACGAGTACGAAATTTCATATCAGTGTGCTTTTAACTTACAGGCAGCAAGTGTTAATTTTTCCTCTAGAAGCACTTACACCAAAATTTGAATACAAAGAATACCTGGAAATCACTTTAAATAACAAATGCGGAATGTTGCGTCCGTAAAGGCCACCTCGAAACATGCGGAGGTTAAGAGTGTACAGTTTCAAGGGCCAATAAAGTTTTAATCTGGTCTCAATGTTTAGCCCCTCAAGCTGAATTTATAGCCATATGTTAATGCATCGAAGTTTTGAGTTTGAGTTTGAGTTTAGTTTATTTACCACGTGCAGTTGTACAGTAAGTGGCTGGCACAGAAGAAAAAAAGCTGTATAAACAGCTTGACAATGCCCCATATCCCCATGGCAATCGTGGCAACAAAAAGGGCAAAATCAAATTAAACACAGGACAGTTTAAACCAGCAATGCACACGCTTTTCATCAGAACAAAAAATGTAAACAAACTATACTAACCAAAAAACGCGCATGCTATACATCGAAAGAAGTAATCAAACAAGAAATATTACTGCACAAATTAATATAGCATATTTAAAAATAAAAATATTAGAGAGCATACGAACATTTTCGTAATTAATTCCTAGTTTATTTAGTATATTCGGCAAGCAATAACTCATTGTCTGAAAGCCATAATTTGGCGCGGTCTTGGCACATGCCAATATTCAGAGTGTTGGTTTAGGCGCGTTGAGGGATTTATTGCAAGTTAGCTAAACTATGTATATAGCCGCGACCTTTTATGGTATCACATCTAAAAGAGACTGCTAAAAATATTCGTAGAGCTGGTTTAACTTGATTATTTTGTATTTAGCAAATAATTGTGAAGTATGGGCAATAAAAGGAAGGTTAGCAACAGATTGTAGCGCCTTTTTTTGTAAGATAATAATATTACTAATAGATTGCTTTGTTCCATCACCCCAAGTTAGGTTGCAGTAACTCAGATGTGATGTAAAAAGTGCATTAAATATCAGAAGTTTTTGAGGAACTGGCAATAAATCCTGACATTTTCTCAAGACATCCAGGACTTGTGTGTCTTGAGAAACAATGTCGTGTATTTCACATTATAACTCACATTATAAACAATGTCCTGTATTTTCACATTCGCAGCTCCTGGGAAGCCGGAAGACTTTCGCGTCACCGCGGTTGAAACTACTAGCTGCCGATATTGAGTGGAAAGAACCGAGAGTAAAGAACGGTGCATTGGGTAGGTTACATCATCAATATGTGCAAAGGAAATGAGTCGGCGGAAAGTGACTGCAAGGAAGCTCCGAGTTTCCAACTCACAATCAACGACTCGTCGACAACTGCGCACAAGTTGGACGGTCTCGATCCGTGGACTAATTACACCGTTGCACTAGCGGCCTTCAACAGAGCATGCCAATGGCTCCAAAATGATCAGTGATGTGTCCACCGTGGTGTTCCAAACAGATGCAGTTGGTGAGTGGCAGTTGTAATTCTGGCACTTATGCTTAACACTACATTTAGACTTTATAGAATGTGTATGAGATATACTTCTACCGACATAGCTCTACTACCTTAAAAAATGTGAAAACATCCTAATGCAGAAATTTAAGGTTTGATAGCGGTCATCGCACAAACTTGGCTGGTACACTTGTAATTAACTGCCTAATGCCCATTTTATTCTTCTGATTCTACCAAATCTACATATTAATCTTTCCATCACCCCTTCTAACCCTAGAAAACTTCTAGATCTGACATGAATGTCTGAAAAGATGAGGCTTAAGGACTCTATTATAAAGTATTATGAATCTATGAATGAATGAATGAATGAATTAATGAATCTAGTGAACCGATTCATCCAGGACTGTCAGCACTTCCAGTCTTGCGCACTTCACGCGGCAATACGCTGCGAATGTGATCAGCTCCAATTTAATCACGCAGTAATCTTCAATAATTCCGGAGCCCTCAGTTATGGCATCTTTCATATGCATACGATGTATTTGAGAAGTTAAACTCCATCAATGTTCATACCCATGAGACACTGCTAAAACATGTTAGGCACAGAAAGCTTTCGTTAGGCTACAGGGAAAGATGCACGGATCAAGTGAAAAAAAAAAAGAAGCAGGCCACTTTCACCATAATTCTTAAGAGACGCTGTGCGTAATAAAGAACGCCTTTTTAGGTATAGAAATATAGGGCTTACTGAGTACATTGGTTGCCCGCAAGGAAAGTAAAATGCAATAAAGAGCGCCATGCATTTTAGCACATTGGTCTGATACCTAATGGTCTAGGTAAAAAAAGAAAAACGGCCCCTAGCACCCTACGTTTAGCAAATCACGGGTGAGCTAATTCACAAAGACTGTAGCGCAATGAGTAGCGCAACTTGAAATATTATTTGCAAGGGCGCAATAATGCATGTCTCCCATAATAGCCACAGTAATACGCAATTCACGCTAGCAGTGATAATGACTCATACTATGGTTCGTAAGGTTAAACGCATAGGTGTTGCTGTTTCCGTTCTGCCACGCCATGAGCCGAAAATAGACTCTTCTGATAATACTTTCTATCTCCTGCCAGGCATGCAGCTCGGTTTGTGCCAATTTTTTCTTTATGCTGTTAATGTCCATTATGCTGTTCTACTGTTATGCTGTTAACGCTCGCTCGCCAGCCTTATTCACGTGCAGTTTTGGCATTCTTTATGAAAATGGACAATTAGGAGAAGTTAGTGTCGTTATGGCGGCACCGGATACCCTCTCCTACCTTAGTAGACAAAATAGGTTCCAAGAAAGTAACAAGGGCCCAATACGCAATGCAGTAGAACATACGACGTAAAAGTACAGCGCCGCCAAACATCACAAGACAGGCTGAATACGCCTAATAGGTTCATATGAACACAAATATTGAATCACAAGTTTTATTAGAATTAATCCTTTCAGACTTTTGTTATAAGCAATAAAGCGTTGGCTTGAGTACACATGTCTTTTCCAAAATTCTAGGACTTATGGCTCTCCATTTCATACAAAAATCTAATTTTATGTTGTAGGCACCTTTGACAACGCAGTGGCCCCTCATAGCTAAGTCGCGGTAATTTTACGTAAACCAAAATTAGTGCATGTGCCTGCTATGGTTTCGGTGAAACTCAGTTTGTCTGGCTGCGTCTAAAAATAAATATTGAGCCATGCATCTATTTTACTTCTTAGTTTTTAAGAAGAATTTTACGCAAGACACGTGGAAGCTGCTATCTTTGGATGCTAAACCAATGTTTCCTTATTTTTGTTCATTGTGACGTGAGCCTAAAGGCTATGAGACGTCCAATGCACCAATCCAACTGGTTCAATTGGCATTTGTCTACTGCATGTTTCTTTAGTTGTCAAATATACAAACCTGCAACGCTAACGTCCAGTATGGCGGCACTAGATTGATTGTTTGATATGTGGGGTTGAACGTCCCAAAGCCACCATATGATTATAAGAGACGCTGTAGTGGAGGACTCCGGAAATTTTGGCCACCTGTGGTTTTTAACGTGCACTGAAATATGAGCACACGGGCCTACAACATTTACGCCTCCATCAGAAATGCAGCCGCCGCAGCCTAGATTCAATCCCGTGACCGGCGGGTCAGCAGCCGAGTACCTTAGCCACTAGACCGCAACGACGGGGCAATATGATGGCATTAGAACTCATTCCCAAAGTATTCTAAGTAATATACACATGTCCATATGTAGCAAATATCGTTCAAGGCTACTGACCAATATGACAGCGTCGCAGCCCATCCGTAAGACATTCATCGTGGTCTAGAGCTTTGCCAAGTTTAATGTGAGTTGGTTCAGAAACCAGTCGTCATTTTACAAGTATTACATGCCGGAACACATTCATGTCATGATGCCGATGTAGTGGGGATCTTCGGTCAAAATTTTTCACATTCAAGTTGCTTTCATGCGCCCCTGTTGCCGCCAATTTCCACTACCAGATTACGACGCGAAATATCGTGTCCAGTGCGCCGAAAGGCAAATGTCAGCTGGGTACGGTCGAACACAAAACACTGATTATATCATCCTGCCTAGATAGTATTATCAGTGAATTATAGTGGCTCTGTTGCTGTGACAGGAACTAGGAATAGCAAGTGAAGCGAGCTGGAGCGACGGCACTGGGCTGCATCAGACCCGCTTTCTGTCCATATCGTGTTTTTTGTTCCTTTTCAAGCTTCATTGAAGTCAAAATATTTAGGGGTACTTTGAACCTGATAAAAAAACACATAAAAATGAAGGCTTATAGCAATTGCTTATTCTGGTACCAGCAGAGTATGTCTTTTGAAGTATTACTTCTTGAAAGATTGAAAATTTTAGAGATTTTATGAAAAGCTGTTCGAAAATTCTATTAAAACTTTTATGACTGCACAAAGTGAGAAGTACTTTGTCAAAACAACCATTAAGCATTCAACGGATCAACATCTACAAACGATATTACATAAGTTTTTGAAGTGGTTTCAGCATGCCCACGAAATCAGCTTTATGTAGAAACGAACGTCTTACATGTTAAAACACTTACTGCCTTGCGAATAGAAATCAACAAAATATACGTGCTTCTTCTATAAACGCGATTGTTGTTCTGGTATAACAATCCCGTTCAAAAAAAAAGCAGATGTGCTTTTTTGATTTTGACTAGCAAGCCTGTAAGTGTTTGACATGTGTAGGACTTTCATTTCTCTAAAAACGTGGCTCTTAGAATAGAAACTCAAGAAATTGAGTTGGTCATTCACTGATTTCAGCAAATATATTTCTAGTTGAAAAGAGAAAAAATATATTGCCTGTAGACGACGTACATTCGGGCATGTTACGGTTAAGAAGGATATTGTGTTTGTTTTACCTATTTATTTGATTGATATGTGGGATATAACGTCCCAAAACTACCATATGATTAAGAGATACGCCGAAGTGGAGGGCTCCGGAAATTTCGACCACCTAGAATTCTCTAACGTAACCCAAATCTGAGCACACGGACCTGCAGCAATTACACTTTCATCTAAATTGCAGCTGCCGCAGCCAGGATTCGATCCCGTGACCTGTGGGTCACGGGATCGACTCGCTTCTACAACCTTAGCCACTAGAACACAGCGGTGGGGTAGTTTTACCTGTAGAAGAAGATTAGTAGGCCAGAGGTTTCAGCATAAGAATAATATTTAAAAATAAAATGTCGACTAAGCTAGTCAGATTCATTGTATAGTCTACAGAAGCCCAGAAGATTACCTACGGAGGAACTATCTTCGAAATGTTCTTAAAGCAAGCAGTAAGACCCCTTGTGGATGCTCTCTAAGGGCAGCAGGAACGGTTGCAACAAAATGCCAAAAATTTCATCGTACTCTGAATTCGGACTTGCACATGACACAATATATTTGTACGACTCCTATGATAAATTATTATTGATAATTACGCCATGTTACCGCGACATTTTTTAGCAGTTAGGTGTACACCTAGCCACTAAAGATAACGTAAGTTCTATAGTACAAAGTTGCAGGTAAACTACGCTCATAAGACAACATATGACACAATTGGACGTCGAAAGTGCACTACTTAGCCATGCATTGTAACTTGTTAGTACTGCGCTCTTTATTCACTCGCTTCCATCATTCCTTGAGAAAGAAGACACACGAAAGCAATTCGCAGTTGCTTTCGAGACGGCTTCAAGCTCCAAGGTCTTGTGCTGTTCAAACACCTCGCAAAATACGTATATGCCTCCAAAAACGTCAACACCAGCAACATCTGGTAGCCTGACTGCGGGTGCCAGAGATAACAGTAATGTATCCAGGCAGAGTAAGAGCGTCCCGTCAGTGTGAGTTCATTTGTGGCGAAAGATAAGATAGCGCAAGAAATATGGCAGGATATGGAGAGGGTGAAATGCTGACAGTCGTCAAACGTACCGCTATATAGTCCGACTGCTAGGATTCAGACGGCTGGCTGTGCAGATAATGCTGTCAAAATGAAGCCACATAAAAGCGGTCGATAGTGAGGGATGTTGTGAGACGCTTTTTTGTCGCTTATCGGTGGTGGCTGTATCTTAATCGCTGACCCCTAGAATGTTAAGAGAGGGCAGATTCTACGGAGATAGACTCCACTTTGAAAACACTGTTTGGCATCAATCGCATTTTTGCGAGACATGTATGTTAGGAATGTCAGGAAAATTGAAGTTATTTCGTCACGTGACCTTGCGAAACTGCCTGTGCGAGAACGACATCTGAGTCTGTTTTGCAGAGTGTGTCTGCAATAGGGAAGACGCAGGAATTAAAGAAATGAGAACACCTGGTGCCCAGCTGAGTGTAGTTGATCGGTTGTATGCAATGCCTGCAGTTTTCTCAAGTGTTTAAAACAACAAGCGGCGCAGGTCACGTTCATTCGTCGTGAACCCAAAGAGGTTGCCTATACATGCAAAATAGGCACTCAGCTTGATTAACTGATGCACAGACAACTAACTAAACAATGACATTATTATAAGTTCTAAGTCAGTATTTTGGCCATTCAGCAATGGTATGAGACAAGGAACCACAGAAATCTTTTGATTGTTCAGCTCTTTTTGAGAGGCACTTGAGGAACTCGTTTTGTATCTTAATGTTTTTGTGGTGCCTCTACTCTTCCTGATGGTTGCATTTCCCGACAAATTATCAACATGATCATCGCAATCGTTCCCACTCTGTTTCGTAAAAATTCTACTCTATTAAGAAGTAGTGTGGGAAGCTGCTGGTCTGTAGTTCGTGGCATTGGACATTCATACATGTAGTGTTCACGTGCACGCATTACAACACAAACAACACAAGCACCCCGCAGTCGTGGAATTCCCTCTTATATGTCTTCGAGCCAGAGGACCAACGCCGGCTCATCCAGCGTGCGGTGAAGGCAGCGGTATCCCAAAAGATCTACACCGACCTCCTCAAGAATACCGCTAGCAGTCTCTGTACTAGTCTCCCCCTTATTAAAGGTCTTTTTTTTTTTTCAGAGAAATAAAGATGCCACCACCACGCCCGCTCTGTTACGCCTACTGCAATACTGCAGACAGATGGCACGAGTGTATGTGTAGTCAGGTGCTGGGTGCTACGCACATTACACAGATCATCATCATCAGCCTGACTACGTCCACTGCAGGACAAAGGCCTCTCCCATGTTCCGCCAGTTAACCCGGTCCTGTGCTTGCTGCTTCCAATTTATACCCGCAAACTTCTTAATCTCATCTGCCCACCTAACCTTCTGTCTCCCCCTAACCCGCTTCCCTTCTCTGGGAATCCAGTCAGTTACCCTTAATGACCAGCGGTTATCCTGTCTACGCGCTACATGCCCTGCCCATGTCCATTTCTTCTTCTTGATTTCAGCTATGATATCCTTAACCCCCGTTTGTTCCCTAATCCACTCTGCTCTCTTCTTGTCTCTTAAGGTTACACCTCCCATTTTTCTTTCCATTGCTCGCTGCGTCGTCCTCAATTTAAGCTGAACCCTCTTTGTAAGTCTCCAGGTTTCTGCTCCGTAGCTAAGTACAGGCAAGATACAGCTGTTATATACCTTCCTCTTGAGGGATAGTGGCAATCTACCTGTCATAATTTGAGAGTGCTTGCCGAATGTGTTCCACCCCATTCTTATTCTTCTAGTTACTTCACTCTCATGGTTCGGCTCTGCGGTTATTACCTGCCCTAAGTAGACATAGTCTTTTACAACTTCAAGTGCACTATTACCTATCTCGAAGCGCTGCTCTTTGCCGAGGTTGTTGTACATTACTTTCGTTTTCTGCAGATTAATTTTAAGACCCACTTTTCTGCTCTCCTTGTCTAACTCCGTAATCATGAGTTGCAATTCGGGGGACGAATTGCAACTCATGATTACACAGATAACACACGCTGAAACTGAAACGTGAAATGTTATTGGTTGTAATGAATGAGCTGAGATCATAGCACAAATATTTTGAATTTAATGGCGTTACGACTCTTTCAAACTTGTTTTCTTCATGTATGAGCACAACGTTGACTACAACGCCATCTTGTAACTTGATAATTACGTCACTAAATTCACAAGGGGCATGTTTGAGCTATTGGGCACTCCTGTGAACTGGTATATAGCGCCAACTTCAGGGACGAGTGACAAGAGAATTTGACACCCACAAGCTCTAACTTCCAACTGAATTTTTTGTTGTTGAAGAAACTCATAAAACACAAAGGGTACTGCACCTGCGCAATTTCACACCAACAAAAACCACCACACCCTAAGGACAAGATTCAGCTCTCCAGTTTATACGTATGCCTGTATTCATGCATCTTAGCGATTGATGTCGCGCTTAAGTACGTACAAAAAGGGTTACCAGCATCGAAGATTGTCATTCTTACCGACTCTCGTGGTGCCCTTAGCAGACTCACCAGCAAGGAGACCAACAGCTGTATTCTGAGCAGCGTCATGGAATACATTAACATTATTCTGTCACGTGGGGTATGCCTTGCTTCGCCATGCAACCTTGATTACTGTGAATGTTGGGGAATTTTATGTACGATGGACAACGCTCGTCTGCTTATACGCCGACACCTCCTAAAGCAGCACCCAGACCAGCGTGGGGCGAATAGATCGTTCCCTCCTCGTGTTCGTGGCCGTGTCTTGCCTCGTAATTCCCGAGCGCTGTTGTACAAACTAAGAGTGAGCTCTGTGCTGGTGCGTGAAGATTACACCGTCAAGGGCGTGTGGACAGCCCATTGTGTGCAGCTTGTGGCTCCTGCGAAACACTTGAGCATCTCGTAGTGCACTGTTCCACATTTTCTACGCAGCGGTCTTTGCTGATTAAGGGATATAAATTCTTAAGACTCAAGTGTGCGAGCTTAGAGGACTACCTCTTTCCGAGTCTAGTACTTCCCCACGCGACCAGGCCCACCGAGCTCCCCTTACACTTATGAACCAAACGGACCTGGCCGCCCGTTTATAGACGGTCTTTTTTATTATTCTTTTTCTTTCTTTTTCGATTATTTTTCTTGTTTTTATTCTTTTTATCTTTTTACTAATACTTGTCGAAGTCTACGTCTTTTTTTCTCTTTTCCTCATCTTCTTTCCCCTCTCTCCTATCTAATCTTTGTTTCCTGTTTCCTCTCCCCTCTCGGAAGAGTGAGCAGGCGTTGTGCCCCTCCAGGTGGCAGTTGCCAGCTTGATCTCTCCCTCTTTCCTCTGTGTCCTTGTGTATCTGTGTATGCAAATCAAATAAATAAATAATAAATGAGAGCTGAATCTTATCTTTTTTGGGTGCCATGGTTTTATGAATTTGAAACTCAGGAGGCCCACAGTTACCTATAAATTTTGTTTCCTGAATTAAAATTGAGTTGGAAGTTAGTGCTTGCGAGTGCCACAGTCTCTTTTCTGTTGCCCTGAAGTTCGCGCTATATAGTAGTACAAAGGTAACTGTGATTTCGGCTTTCCATGGAAACGATAAGACCACAGTTGACTGATTTGTTCAGCGAAATTTTCCGTTGAATGTATGGCAATATTCTATGAACAATAATAAAGTGGATCTACCTTTGCCATAAACAATGTCGTCGTTTTAGCTCTTCTGATGGGCTTACAGTGAAGAAAGATAATAGAGTACACAGTATTAACACAACAACCTTGCGCTTGTTTTTAACCTGGTGTACTGTGTTCTTTGTAATCTGTTCCTACCGTAGGAACATTGCGAATGCCAACGTGAACCAATTAGCCCCTTTTCTCGCATTACTGCCCTAGTTTCAGCGAAATGCTGGAGGGTCCTGTAATATACGATGTCAATGCGTGTCAAAGAACACCAATTATTCAAAATTTCTAGAGCCCTCCACTTGAGCATGCCTCGTATTTATACCCTGGTTTCAGCTGGTAAAAACTCAAATAGCACTAACTGCCTTGTGTTACCCTGCACAATATTATTGAACATGTTTCGCCAATTAACGAAACATATAGCGCAATCCTAAGCTTTAACTTTGTTGCCTTTTTTCTCTTTTTTTTCTATTTTACAGCTCCAGGAAGCGTCACCAGACTATCCGTGGTAGAGGTCACTAATTGTAGCATCTCTCTGGACTGGAGCAAGCCCAATATTACACGGGGCGAAGTCAAATACTACAATGTCACGTACTGCATCGCGGCAAGCTGCAAATCTGCTACCGATGAGTGCGACACTCTGCAAGTGGACGAGGAGGAAGCGAATATTACCAACTTGAAACCTTGGACGTTTATCGCTATTCGTGTGGCTGCCGTTAACCTGATGAAGAACGGAACTGAGCTGCTCGGCGACGCAGCGTCACTTTGTGAAAGGACGAAAATAGGCGGTGAGTATAATATTGCCGTGGTCACGAAGAAAAGGATGAGGTCGCAAGGTGTAATGCAGGTGCGGTCGAAGCAGTGAGTATAGGCATATTTTGTTAGAGAGAGATGGGGGGAAGTTGGAGGCACATCTATGATAGGAATTGGGTGCCCGGCAAACGAGTGTATTGGAGATTGATTTTGTACACTGTATTGTCACGCGGTCGTGACTTTGACGAAGGCACGAGTCTCTATGTCCGATATGTAACTCTTTATTTGACCGAACTAGTGGCCGGTAAACGGAAAGTGAGGTTATAGCAATACACATTGTCACTGATAACGGTGGTCCATAACAATACCTGCCGTGGGGCGCCTCAGCATATACACATGCTGCAACGAACATTCAAGCATTATCACTGATAGCCACCGTTGTTCGAGAATGAACTTTGCTTGTTCGCGTATGCGTGCTTAAAGCCTACCAGATGGTCTCTAAATAATCTGCAATGCCCTCAGACATTCTGGCATGATTTGCGTAAGGTGTTAAAGACACGTGCAATAGGCCGGCAACGTAAAACAGGGAAAGAAAAGAAAAAGCGTGTCTCACTGTATTTAACGGAGGAAAAAATTCTGCAGCTGGACACAGATCTGGTGTGTTCGCCATGGCGACGCCACTGTAACGAAGGCAAACCTGTCGAGGCACTGATAAAAAGTGTGCGTGTGACAATCTTAAAACACTAAAATACCATGGTGCACTTCCTCAAAAGTTCTGCCACCGAATCAGTTAGTAGGGCAATTTTTGGGTCGATCCCTTATTGAGACATGCATCTAATGAAGCTTATTATCTAATAGCGAATAACATAGAGCTTGTGAATGAGAACCTTAGTGCATCGGGCCCCATCAAATTTTCATAGATTTGACACTGTTAAGTGGTGTAATTTTCGGCGTCAGTTATACGTTAAATATTGCTGTATTTCTCGCACTCTAATTAATATGATATATTTAGGCCTGTCATAGTAGGCTGGATAAATTTGAACGCATAGACCTCCATCTAACTAGAGAGATGAATTTAATTAGACAGGGGATGTAATCATTTCCTCTCGTTATAAGTTTGCTCGTGTTGTTGTTGAATTGAACGCGCACTCTATAGAGAGAGAGAGAGAGAGAGAGAGAGAGAGAGATAGAGATGCAAGGAAAGGCAGGGAGGTTAACCAGACGCACATCCTGTTTGCTACCCTGCACTGGGGAAGGAATGAAGGGGAGAAAAGAGGTTGCAGAAGGATAAGAAGGTACACACAATCACGAGAACACTCGGGGGAGCACACACAGTCAACAGGCGGTCGCTCATGTTTGTTGACTTTAAGTAAAGTAGGAGTGCTTTAGTCGCTTTCTGCGCAACTGAGGCAGATGCCCAAGGTCCCAGAATCTTCTGCACACAAAATGGTCTGGAGTCAAGTTGATTCAAAACCATCCGGAGCTGGCATCGCTGTGTGTCGTAGCAAGCACAGCTGCACAGGACATGTTCAATGGTCTCTTCAGCTCCGCAGTAGTCGCATGTACAGATGTCTGCCATACCCAATGCGCAAGGAGTACACTTTCGTGAATGCAACACCCAACCAAAGGCGCACTCTATAGGTTAGCACTGCCACACTATAGATGCCAAATTGTCGAAAGACTTGACGAGTCAGATCCTTCCTCGCACTTGTAGATCTTTACATTTCGCATCTGTGTATACACATTTCAGACACCAACGCGCGTACGAACAGTAACAATATGGGGGGCTGGAAACTACCCACTCCCCCCACACACATTAAAAAAAAAACTTTTGGATGCGCAGGATGTCCAAAAACACCTTATAAGTGAGGAATATCGACAAGTACTTGCGAATAACAGTAATAAAATATTTGTGGTCATTTAAATACCCTCAAAAGTCCTCAAATAGGGGTTAGCCTATATACTTTTTTCATTTGTCCAAACAAGGTTGATACATGTGACAAAGCAGTAGAATAGGTAGGTAGTACGTCTATGAATCGGAAACGTTATTTGTTAAAGCTAATACTATAGAGTTTCGTCTAATATCACAAGCCTGTTGGCTGTTTTATCTTTTTTTGTTGCCGTCTTTTGGTCTCTTGCTGTGACAAGACGTTCCTGCAACAGTTCAAAGAAGCCATTCGAGATGTTTCGTCCAAGCTCTAGAACTGGGTTCATAAACGCCGCACTTAAAGGCAGCCCCTGCAATTGCACTACATGGTCTCAGTTTCCTGAAGAGAACGTAGCTGGAGACATTGCGTGATCAACAACAATGTTGGCCTGCTCATGACCACAACTGCTTGCTTACTTTACGCTAGTGTCGCAGAAGCTCTGGCCTTCGTGATTTACTGTACCTCTGTGTGCGTGCAGGGCCCTCCTTCTCTGTCTCTCGCTCCTCTTTTTCTAATTCCTGTTTTCTTATCCCTAGTCAAGGGCAGCAAACCTGACGATAGTTTGGTTAGCACACCCAGCTTTCCTCTTTCTTTTTTTCTCTTTATTTAACAGCATGTCCAGTTCGGTTCACCTGAATTAACGTTCAGCTTTACAGTGGCTGACTGCTTCTCAATATGAGAAGTAGTCGTTCACAATAACCATCCTTTTCCCTCAACAGACGCTCTCATCCCTATGGCGACATGGGCGCGTCAAAAACTGTGGTGAAGTTTTAGCTAGATTTGAAGTGCGATGCACGATGAAGAAGCTCTATATATCATTAATGGTTATTTGCATAAGCGTTCTTCTCATAGCACATGAAATATATTAACTCCAATAGGCTTGAACAAAAACCAAAGAGATAGGCACGTTTAAACTCGGACAAATAAGGTTTGTCAGCACGCCATCTCGAGCAAGCCTAATGCACCTGCTCTTTATTCGGTTTAAATGGACGTCGCCAGGAGCCGTGAGTGTTGTTCAGTCTTAGAGGCTGCAATGCGGACCCGTAGTGGATGTTTTTGTTTAAACTTATTTCCACGATGGCTCTATCTTCGCTGTCACGGCGAAAGTATCTGTGGAAGTGTGTGTCTAACTTTGCTCGTGGCGATTTGTTTTTCAAACTCTTGAATTCTACGCTGATATTACGTCCCATACTTTGTTGCTCTGATGCAGCATTTGGGGCCAAAGAAAACACCGTGGGCTACTTGGGAGTCGTGTTCCAGTGCGTGCGTCAACATCAAAATGATTGCTCATCAAAGAAAAAAAAAACACAACAATGGATATCAATAAGTCAAAACATTGTCCACAGGTCAGCACAACCAACTAAAAATAGGCTTCCCTGTAAAATAAGCTGTTAATTCTTATAACATTAATTGGTTTATTCTACAGAGATATCTACAAGAAACCCTGGTTGTAAGCAATCTCTCCGTGTAAATATGGACAGATTGATCGGAACTTAGCCAATGATATTGCTTTAAGAAGTTTGTTTATCCAAGTATGAAAACTCACGCGTTTTTTTTTTCTATGCTATTGTTAACCGGTATATCTACAACCTTTTATAGGAGAAAAATGCCTATTTAGGGTTAGAGCTTATAGCTATGATTGAGGGGGGAGCAGTTCCAACCCCCATTCATGTATATGCTAAGAAGTGTTTTCACATGAGAGCTGAGAAATATACATGTTCAATATGTAAAAGGAGAATGTTTGGCGGGGGAATACGGGGTGGGGTTTAACACTGAAATGACACCTGCCCGCTCTATTAGTTCCCTATCTTCGTACCAAACTGTGTCTGCTTTTACATACACGTTGTTCTTGATGTTAACTGTTTTATGCTTGATTGCTCAGCTGTTCTTTTTTTTTCTGTACCAACTAAAGTACCATTCCGCCACATGCCCCAGAAGTTAGCTATTACTTCGAGTGTCTTTTTGAAGAATGATTGCTAGGAAATAACAAACGATGGGCAGGATGATAGGCATTTATCTTCAAATTCACAATTTGCAGTACCCAGCAGGCCAGAAAGCATCAATGCAGCCGCAAAAGGAGACTCAATTGTGATTCGCTGGAAACCACCCCGTGTGCCGAATGGAGAGCTATCTCAATACAAGGTTGATGTCTGCGGCGAGAACGAAAGCACCGAAACTAGGTGTGACAATCACACTGTCGATGGAGGCAGAACCACCATTGCCATCCAGCACTTGGCTCCGTGGACCGTGTACAATGTATCAGTAGCTGCCCAGAACATCGAGGGTGACCTGGTGTTGCAAAGCGAGTCAGTGAACACAACCGTGAAAACAGCCCCCGCTGGTAAGGCTAACGCGCTAAGTTTTTGATGACTTTGCATTTACTCTTTTGTGATTTTATGCCTGTACATCCCCTCTTTCTTCTCAACAAGTAGCACTTCAACATACAATTCTTTGTTTTGAGGGGTCAACTGAGAATAAGATGTCGTTACTTCCAGCCTCCTCCGAGCCACGGAATTTGATAACAACCGAACAAGAGCATTCGATCATCGTGGCCTGGGAGGCGCCAGAGTTACCACGAGGGCCATTGGATGGCTATAACGTATCGTGGATCATTGAAGACTGGCTCGGTCGTGTAACTGCGGTGGGATCGCTTGTTACCAGCAACAACACATGTCGACTTCCAGCGTGGAAACCGTACTCCAATTACACGCTGTCCGTGCGAGCGTTTCATCAGATTGACGATGCTGAACCACTGTATGGTGATGCTGCGCTGAAGGCTTTCAAGACGGCTGTGGATGGTGAGATTGTTACGTGTGTACAGCATGTATGTACTTGATGATGCTGAACCACTGTATGGTGATGCTGCGCTGACGGCTTTCAAGACGGCTGTGGATGGTGAGATTGTTAAGCTCGCATAGAAGATATGTACTTGAGTAGAGAGTGGTGTTTCGCGACAAGAAACAACTACCCTTATCTGTTGTCTCTCGCGAAAACACTAAAGTGTCAGCTTAAGTGGCGTTGTTCTCGTAGAAGCTGCCTTTGCACTTCGGCGTGTTAACAAGGTGTTAACGCAACACTATCAGCATGTCAGTGCAGCAATGGCATGCACGCGAAAGATAACATTAGCACAAACACGAGAGGTTTTTGCCTTCTCCTGTCTGGTATACCTATACTTGTATGAGCAAAGAAGCTCACGGAATAGTGAGTTGTAGGACGACTTCCTCAACATTGTGTGGCGCTGCGGGAAACGACAATTATAGACAAATGCTTGTTTACGTTCACTATGTGTCTCTCAAGGCAAAATTTAAAAAAAAAAACATCTCATTTGGTATTAGGCCACTTCCAATAATCGAGCTCAGCAGAAGAATAAAATACACCAGGTTTATGCACTAAAATTCACGCGCTTGTCTGGTTCTATGCAGCCTCTCACGTTTACACCAATGATATTCGGCATTACGCTAACACAAAGAAGCTTCATGACAAACAAGAACTTTTTATTTACATGCTAATTCTACTCCGGCCACCCAACTCATATAAGAGCTATGTGTGGCCGTTAGTCGACTCAATGGAATCACTCATTCATTAATACACAAATAGGAACTTTCTTCCGTTCTGTCACCGATACGTAAATTAAAAAAAATGGCACGTAGTATAGGCGTTTTATATGTAATGTCATAGCGGACAATTCAGTCCTAGAACCACGGGTTATATAAAGGTTGATAGTCTTCACAACAAGATAATATTTACTGGGAGTCTACATAGCTAAAACCATGATACACTATGAGAAGCATCTTAGTAGGGACTTCAGATTATTTGAAACCACTGCAGTTTGCTAAAGGTCACCGTAACCTAATCATTTGTGTATTCATTGTACCTATCTGCCATTGACATGTACTCGTCATGACCGGGATACGAACCGTCGACCCTCGAGCCTTCTGACATGGCTCGCATGCAGACCTTGTCAAACATCGTGAAACTTTTCTTGCCATTTTTCCGTCACATATGCTAACTGAACGATCAATACTAGTATCCGGAAAGCTAATAACCAAGCTTCGGTTACATAAAGGGCTCTCCTATTGTACCCATTATGAGCTCTTCCGATAACAATAGCGATCAGCACTATGAGAGTGACCGAGGTGCTTGGGCTGTACTAAACAACACGCCACGCTTACGCAATGAGACATGCGTCAGGGCCAGGTTCATGCACTGAACAGGCCTACGTCTTTCATTTTTTCCGGTAGTTCCACGCAGAACATTTGCCCTTAGTGTGCACCGGTAGTGCGTGCACTTCGTCCACGCTAGTTGGACGCAAGTAATGAGCTAGGATACTAGCAATTCACTTTTAGTGCACAATAGCTCATTCCCACGCAATTTCAGAATATAGATTTCAGCTTCTTGTCTGGTCGCGGACTGTTCAGGAAGTCACTTCTTCACAGACGGGGCTGACTTAGTTCACTGAAAGGATCATAAGTCATTTAATATGTTAATGCAGAACGCCACAGTGCGTGCTAAATATTCTCACCATTGATAGTAGATCGCATGTATTCTTAATATTATTGTTTGAAAAAAAAACGAGCGTTTCCAATAGCACTGTTTTCTTGATATTGGATATCTGTATTCTGAATTTAATACAAATAGTTCAATTAGAAAATCTACTGCTGGAAAAAAAGGAGCCTGTCAGTGGGAGTTATGAAAGAATGTTGATGTGCAAATGTGCAAATAGGAAAAAAACAATGCAAGTTTAGAGGCTAATCTTCTTGAATTATAAATTGCCGAGATATATCAGGTTTTTACGAACACTGAACTTTTCGAACGCTACATATTAATGAGGTAAAGTATTGACAAGACGAACTATGTTTGTCAATTTTTTTGTTGAATGAAAAAAATATATTTTGGTCTCAATGTGGTAGCAGCCTGAATCGGACTAGAACGCTAGCGTTACCTATTGGACATTATTAAAGTTATTTCATTCATCTATCCATTACCAGATGATATGATTCAAGGATGTTACAGAGTTATGGTGGAAATTCTCGGTGAATTTCGAAGTTTCGCAGATGTGAGACCTTTCTATAACTCATTTTAATTAGCGAGAGATATAAGCAAACGAAAGCTAACACAATTAACCTTCTAATCAACCTACAGAGGAAGGGTAGGAAACTGCTTTAAATAATATTTGAGCACCTAGAGAAAATAGGTTTTGTCCTCACACTATTTTCAATGCAACGTGGTAATTCCTTGCGATGATTATGCCAAGAATTTCAGTGTGTCCACTTTCTTGTCAATGCTGCTTTCAAAATTTATTTACAAGGGCACAACGTTGACGAGCAAACCTTTTTCTCACTTTTCTTTGATTCCGACAGCCCATCTGCGCTTTCAGAGTATTGTATTTTATCTACAGAGAAGCTGCGCTTTCCATAACTTTCAGTGAGCGAAAGCATACCTAATATGTTTGCACTAACTCGACTTGTACATTGCTTGTTCTCTTAAATGTTAACCTTTTGCAGCTCCTGACCTGGCAAAGGTGGACATCGTTGCAGGGCCACGATCAGCTGCGATTTTCTTGAGTGTGGCAGGCTCTCCAAATGGGCCCCTTGACGGTTTTCTGTGGTGTAACTACGTGACTTACAATTACCTCAGCGCCAAAAACAAAACTGGGGAGGAAGAACTCTGCACCAATGGATCACGCACAACTCGTCGGCTCCTTTTATTAAAACATCTGAAGCCCTGGACATCCTATACGTTCGCAGCACGTGCCTATAACCTGGACTCAGAGGGATCTCCATTGGAAGGTCAAGAGACATGGATTTACTACATGACAGAACAAGATGGTAAGAGAAACGCAAACTTCCCTTTGGTTCCATCTTAATGCGGAGTGGATGCCATTAAGTCGTATCGGTAATAGCAAACTCAATTATCTACAGAAATATTGGACGATCCTAGTGAAAGAGACTAATAAAACTCCTACGTTTAAGCCATCTTGAACGTTCCAATGTAACGCCATGCCCTTACAGTTTTTACCCCTAAAAAATCTGTTACGATAAAAACAATTTATCCCGTAAAACAATAGTTGGCACCGACTAAGGAATGCGTTCACAGTATTAACAAATTTTTCAAAAGAATACCAAAAGTTGCTGTTGTACACAAGCTTGTAAAACTTTTTGCAGCGTTTTCGCCAGCTCTCGTTATTTGATAATTTGTTTTGCTTCCTGGGAGCTTATTTCTTTTTCTGACAATAATTGATTTCTTTTTTCGCAGCACCTTCGACTCCTAGGAACTTTTCGGTGGCTCGTTTTGAGTCTAGATCACTGATCGTCAACTGGTCCGAGCCGGCGGAGAAAAACGGAGAACTCGAAGGCTACGTCCTCACTTGGACGCTTAGCGCGGACGGCCGAGAGATCAACCACGTAGACATCAGCCCTCGAAGTACAAAGATATCCTCACTGGAGCCGTATACGGAGTATGTACTCCGGATACGCGCTTACAACAAGCACCATTCGAGGCGTCTTGAAGGCCCATCGGTTGAAATCCACGCTAGAAACGCTACCAGAAGGTGAGGTAGGCTTTCCTGACATATGGCGCGAACAGTGAAGTTTCTCGTTAGATATGATATACGTGTATTCAATGCGACCTATATCAGGTCCAATATGACTTTCGTATTTTTTCAACAGCGGTAACCGTAAATAACAACACAGTGATTTAGGGGTGATTGAAGTCACTCATCGCACTTCATTGTACGCCCTAATTCGTCCTTCGGTGCATTTCCCAATTCATAACCAATGAAGTATGGCCAGCCTATGGTATTATTCGGGCATGTGTAGGGAGTATCATTTCTGCTATGTCGAATGCTTTTTCAAGTTCATGTTTATGCCAGCGTATTGCAGACTTCTCGACGTTACGTGATGTTCATTATGGAAACAGCAAGAGATAGCTGAAATTATGTTAATTTATCTTGTTATGTAAACTCGCAGAACTAATTGCACTTTTAAAGAATGCACTACGGTGGGGTCGTGGCTTAACAATTTTTCTCAGAACATAGCTTTGTTAATTAAAAGTAGTTCTCTAATAACCAAACTTTACACCATATTCTGATTCTGTTTATACAGCACCTGGTCCTGTTGCGGACCTAAACTTGATGGCCTTCAAGAACAACTCTGTGCACCTTTCGTGGCATCCTCCGCTTCAAAAACGAGGAGAGCTTCAGAGTTACGTTGTCATCTACAACGCCTCTAAGGTAGAAATTTCCGCGAACTTTTGTAGTTACGACGTGCCTATCTCATTTTAATCTCTTCGAATACTAAAAAAGAGCTTTGGCGGTTCTTTACAAATCCCTTGTGGTGGTCCCGGCTGTGGCGGCTGCATTTCCGATGGAGGCGGAAATGTTGTAGGCCCGTGTGCTCAGATTTGGGTGCACGTTAAAGAACCCCAGGTGGTCAAAATTTCCGGAACCCTCCACTACGGCGTCTCTCATAATCATATCGTGGTTTTGGGATGTTAAACCCCACAAATCAATCAATCAATCCCTTGTGGCAGAAGCATAGGGGCTTCGAAACAACAATAGAACACTTTTTATTGTACGAAAAATCTATAGGTTGTAATGGTTTAAGTTTGTGCTTTGCTGTAATTTAAGTTGCATGGCATATGCAGAGTTTTGTAGCATTACTTTTCGCATTGCATATTTGTGGACGTAATTACTGAGACCAGTTCGGTAGGTTTCGTCGCCTTCATAAAGGAGGCTAAAATGCAATGAGTCGGCTCTGTGGTAGAACTTGGTCACTCAAGGATCAAATAGATGAACCCGGAGCGTGGCGCCGTTGGATAATAGCGGAAGGCTGGTTATATTTCTTACTGCTACTGCTCGGAGACTAACTTTAGGAGAGAGAGCACAGCTAGATGAAAGGGTAATATTCATTGGGGCTGCTGCAAGCTGCTTCCATTGAACAATGCGCGAATGTTCCGGTCCATTATTAGCTGAGTTACACTGTTGCATAAATTTAATTGACTCTTACAGTGCCCTTTTGTCATTGATTCCTGACTTAGCGCTCCAGTATGGCGTATTTTTTAGAAGCTTGTGTAGTAAATATTCGGAACAGAGCAGCGCAAACCTGCCCAAACATGATTCCATGCACATTTGCTTGAAGCTGCCTACAAATGACAGGTATTCCACATGGGTGAATACTTTTCATAGAAAACATATTATTATGGTAAAACATTGTTAAAATAGGGTAAGTAACGATGTAATCAAAATACACTTAAGAAATTGCATGTGCCTATCAAGTAATATTATAAGGTCTAACTAATGGTGCCCTTTAATTTTCAACTGTAGATGCTCCTGTATGTTTTATTGGCAGTACTCGAGCATGACACCTGCCATATGCAGAATGTGAATCAGTAACTTCATTCTCACTGATGCCTTCATAACAGTAAAATGTATGATGGTTCTGCACTTGCCATTCTTTCCGGAATAACACACAATATTACTCGTCAGGAGACAAGTTAGGGTTCACTTTGCTTATTCTCTCTGTGTTTTTTTTTTCTCACTGTTCAGCTAGGCAAACCATCGTTAGCGAATGTTCTCAGTGATTCGTTGCCGGTTGCAAGTGTATGCCATGGGAAACCTGTTGTCTGCACCTTCGTCGTGGAGGAACTTCGAGCCGAATACGTCTACAGCTTCGACGTGCGTGGCCTCAACGTTAACGTCAGCACTTTGGGTGATGGCTTGGAATCGCCACTCAAGGTCGAGGTACCAGCTGGAGGTAAGAATACGCAGTCTGCGAAGAGCTGTGAATCAAAAGATGCTTTAGAGTGCTTTAGATAGAGGCAAAACAGGCGAGTTGAACTTTTTTTTTTGGAACACAACAAGCGCTAAGTTCTGAAAACGATACACTGTATTTTACGATGATGGCTTTCATCCGCAATTTCCGCACCTGATCACGTCCACTCCAGTGGGCACTTCATAACGAAGTGCTGCTATACTTTAAATGACTACTGACAAAAAAACTTAGTTATCCCGTTTTTTTTTTGCCTCAATGTTTGCTTGGGGCCTAGTTGCCACAACATGGCACACTCATACAATGGCACAGCGTTTGTTTCAGCACGCGACAAAAAATCTTTAAAGGCTCCCATTATCAACCAGTTTCATTATCAGTTTGAGAAAGAAACGATTAACCGCCGGGTGCAACTACCGCCACTTAGCCTGTCCAACTTTTGACTACGTCAGCACACAGAACTGTGACGCACTTCCATACGGCCCACAACAAGAAGTGCTTTCGAATACGAAACGGGCCTACAGTGTCGCCAAACAACTTTGAACACGTGCGCCACGGCCACGCACTCGCGACCAGCCGCCGAGAAGTATGGACTGCTGGAACAAACACTGAGAAAAAAATAAAGGCTTTGATGCCATTAAAAGTTGTTTTATTGACTGTGGCGTGGTGACGTGAGGGAAGTGAGGTGGCCATGAAGGAGTCCGTTTCGGTGGAATCATGTCCTCCAAAATTCAAACTTCGAAATTTCTGTAATTTATCTCCCAAGCAATGTTCAATATCGGTGCCATGGCGACAGATTCAGATCAAATCACTTCCTTGTCTACTGAGCAGTGTATATTATGTACTCACGAGGACGCGCAATACTCTAGACTCGGCTCGCTCACCTCACATGTTCGCTGGATGATAGCGACCGCACCCCGCGAACCGACGACCGAGAAGTTCACGCGCATCCAGGCGGCCATTTGTTGATTTTTGGTGGCTGACGTCATCTAAACTTACCAAACTGCGGCGTAAAGTCACTGAAATTAGTACTGTAGCCTGACGTAAAGCTAATGTTGATGTCAATAGGATCGACAAAAAAATTCCTTATAACATCAAAATAAAATATCTTATCCGCATTTGCTGAGCTTCGAGCTTTCTCAGCGCAGTCTCAGTATACAGGAGATTTTTATGACAAAACAAACTCGGCTTTGAAAAAACGTGTAAGTACTTCTTTAAGAGACAAGGAGAGAGCCTACCATGTCAGGGAACAACCAGAATTGAGGATATTAGGTTTTAAATCAAGAAGAAGGGGTTATCAGCTGCTCACGTAGAACGTAGACAAGGTAACCGCTGCTCAATAGGGGTTACTGGCTTGAGTCCCAGAGAAGGCAAGTGTACGAAAGGGAGCCAGAAAGCTCGGTGGGCCGATGAGAACAAAAAGCAGAATGCAGAAGATTGGGTTGATTAACAGTTCATGGGAGAGGCCTTTTCTCTGCCTAGGGTGTACTCAGGCTGCTGCTGGTAATGATCGTGATGGTGCTTAGAGATCTTTTTATATATATTGCACTAAACAGCGCAGAGAGTGGGCGCAGCGTACAATACACACTATGCAGGAGCTGCCTCCCAAGGGAGACTTATTTCGCGAGCGCAATAAACGTAGCCAGAGGTAGCGCAAAAGAAAAAAAAATCATCGCTGTAGAACTCGGTACAAATGGTTAACCAGCAAAACATCGAACGTGTAGCCCCTGTGTTTATTCGTGGGTTCAACCCGACGAGGCACTAAAGCCATTCACAATTATTGTTTCCATGTTCATGTTTCTTAACGGGGTTAGACACACGTTTGGCTTGGGTTTACCACAGTGTTTTATTCACATGCCGCACTAAGACCTTGTACCCGAAGCCAAAGCGCCGCTGCAGAATCTCCTGCTGAAAGCAGGCAGGCGTTCACCATGGCAAACGCACTCCATTGACATTGTTGTGCGCCCAGCGCTGCTAGTTCGGCGTACCATTCGTGCAAGAGTTTGACATCGTTAACTAACTCGGCGGCGTGATTTGTAGGATCCGCTGGCCAGCAGCACTTACATTTGTGTTCGCGATTGAGCGCTGCTTCGAAGGCTGCGAAATCATTGGCACGTATTTGATGCGGGCAGCTAACCTGCCGGGCCTGTTATTTGGGCCCGGGCTGCAGCACAGGCCCGGCGAAGGCGACCTCTCTAACATTTCCACTGTCGGCGCCCTTGCGAAGTTGCCTGCTGTTCAGCAGGTCGTAGAAATCATGGCTGACCTAAGTGGAAGCTCTCAGTAGAAGCTGATGCGCGCGTGCTCGGTGGTACGGCTGCGACGACATGGACGACGTCACTCACAGAGCAGCCAATCGTTGCGCGCGTGCTATAGCAAGATGTTTATAACGACGTAGTTGATTGTACAGCCAATGTAGATCACTCGTGACACCGAGGCCGAATGGTTTCTCATTTCTCCTAGCCATATATAGCTTTCGCTAAAAAAAGAAACTAACGCTCGACGAACATACGGGCATGAACAAACTGGGTTTCTTAATATACGAACTCGAGGAGAGTTAGTCTTGCTCATTTACGCTTAAAACTCCTAACAGTGTGCTCAATCGGGCAACATGTTTCTCAGACCTGCTTTCAGTTAAATTGCAATATTGTTCGTGATATTGACGCCTCCAAAAACGTCTTGCAGCTATCTTTTCTCGCAATCGTTTAACCGCAACAATAGTATCAGCTGTGATCTCGAGGGGCGCCCAAAAGCGTGCGCTACGACTCAACGACACACTTTGCCGATGTCATAGCAACCTGGCATGATGATCGTAACGGCGCTGTTAGAAATGTTAGGAACGAGCCGAGTTGAAGGAGGTCAGCAAAGTAATAAAAAAGAAAGAGATCCAACAGGTGAGGGGGCACCAGACGTCGGTTTGCGGGATTGCAGCGGATGAATGCCGGAGGTGCGTTTATTACGTGGGGGAAAATTGAAATTTTGATTACTGATGTTAGGGGTGCGTTTATAATGCGAGTGCGTTCATTACGCGCGTAAATACGGTAGTGAAAATCGCAGCATATTCATGGAGTGAAGAAGAGGAGTGTGGTGAAGCGTCCCTCAGTCTGTCCGTTTCTTCTTGCTTCGGCCCATCCGTGTCTGTTCGTCCGTCCATGTGTCCATCTGTTCATCTGTGCGTCCACCCATTCGTGCATCCATCCATGCGTCCATCCGTCCGTCCATGTATCCATCCGCCCGTCCTCTTGTGCGTCAATCCGTGCGTCCATCGGTTCGTCCATTCATCCTTCCGTGTGTCTGTCCCTGCGTTCGTCCTTGCGTCTGTCCACCTGCTCGTCCACCCGTGCATCCATCCGTTCAGTCGTGCGTCCATCCCTCCATCCGTGCGTCCATACATGCATCCATCTGTTTTCTCGCGCGTCCATTCACGCGTCCGTCCATCCTTGAATCCATCCCTGCGTTCCTCCATGCATTGACCCATCCCTGCGTTCGTCCATGCGTCCATACGTGCGTCTGTGCGTCATACAGGCAGGGAGGCGACGAACGGACGCGGCCAAGCGAATGATTGACGGTTTCTCGATGAAAAGTATGCTATGTGCAAGGCAGCGATGGTTCGCGCTCGAAGACGGAACGCCGATGTGCGATCGTGCGAGAGAATAGGAATTACGTCACACGAAGACATTGGTGATCGCGTGTTTGTTGGCGGCTGCCGTGTGCTAGGGAACGCGGTGTAGTAAAATAGACGCCGTTTTGGCGCGGGCTCGCGTTCAGAAGGTCGGCAGATGGACAAGGCTGCAGAGCGACGTGCGCGCAAGGCGGAGGTGGCTTGCACTCGAAGACGGAACCCCGATGTGCGAGCCCATGAGGCAGGGGCGTGCCATGAAGCTCCGTGGCGGCGCCGACAAGATCCCGGCGTACGGGAACGGTAGGCCAAAGCAGCGCGGCAGTGGCGTGCGGACCCAGCTTTGCCCCACTCTCCATAATTCATCCCGTGGATATTCTGTCATTTCTTTCTTAGGCACCTCTAGCTGCACAACTTTCGTTCGTGCAGTGAACTTTCTTGTGAATGTGGACGTTATATATTGAAATCATTGGCCATTCAGCAGTTCAGCTTCCGAAGAGGCTGGTATTTAGCTTTCAAACGTCGTTATTGGTGATTCTAAGCAGAGGCACTTTGCATGTACCTCACTGGAGTCAAAAATACTAATTTTTCTTTTTTTTAAACTATGCGCTCATCTGTAAATTTTGTGTCCTTCCTTATGTTTCAGTGGTTACATGAGGCTGGTTGGATATGAGAAGCCGATATTCGAATACATGTACTTGTAAGCCTCTCGGACAATTTGTTATTAGTACATGTTTTTCAGTGAAATGTTTGTTGACTGTCTTTTTTTGAAAAAATTTAGATACAAAGGTATTTTGGTGGATGACGGCCAATTTTAACAAACGCTCACTTGACGTACAATAATTGGCAAAACATAATTTCAGCCAGTAGTGAAACTTTGCCTCTCATGAGCCATGAAAGAGAACAAATTAAATCAAACACTTTGGCACAAAAGTTTCACCGATTTATTCAACATACACAATGAATTGTATTTAAATGATCCCAATTAACAAACACTCGGGATGTAGGTACACAAGTGAAAATTTCAGCATGGCTAAATATAGTATTAAACACTTCAAAAGCCAATTGAATCTACTTGTACTACCTTCCTGTGTGTGTTGTAAAGGCAAGAAGGCTACCTATATGCATGCACTTACAATGCATGCACCACTCACTAGAAGTAGTATACACCTTACACCTGCAAATATGTGTTTCGAGATGCAGTCACCCATTACCATGTGGCTCAATTTGTAAATTTAAGCTACTATTCACTTCTATATTGAAACGCCTGCGTATAGGTCATCATACACAACACTTTTAACAAAAGATGATTAACAATGAGAATACATAATTATTCTGTTTTTGACAGACACTTTCCTAATAAAATTTGCGGGACTTGCATGCCTTTCTTTTATATACACTTGACAAATGGGACAAAAACAGCGAGAAATATTACTTTGCCAGCAGACGGTGCAGGAGCCACGCTCATTTGTTATTTACACGAGCATGTTGTTCGCTGCCAGCGTCTGAGCGAGCGTGTTTCACGCATAAATTCAATTTCGCACCATGATCCACACGCATTATCGTCACTGGTGGGCTGGCATTAGCCCATTTACAGGCTCTACGCATCATACAACAACTGTGTGAAAGTGGTAACGATGATGACTTGACATACTTGGGTCTTTATATCCATCCTTGTGAACAGCAGGACGACTTTCAATGAACAAGCACCTCTGGCTCCTGCTAGCTCGCTTGGCTTCATTTTTCAATAACGTGAAAATTACGATGCGGATATATATATATATATATATATATATATATATATATATATATATATATATATATATATATATATATATATATATATATACATATAAAACTGTGCTATGCTAGATATGCTACGAAGACATACGCCTCATAGAGAAGCCTTGAAATGATGTTTATTCATGACTTATTTCCATGGTTATGCGAGTGAATATTTTCCACCGATGCATGCTGAAATTCATTAGCAGCCGAGTGATCATAAACAGCGTAAACGCAGTGTCTGCCGTCACGAAAGTTGTCGCTCAGACTTATGGTGTATGAATATACGTCGTTTTTTAACTCGCTTCACTTGCCAAGCCATTTTTCAGGACCATTCAGGGAAGATCATAAGTTATAGTTCTGGAAATACAATGCTGCTCTTTTGCCCGCGCCTTGTGAGATGTGAAAATCATCGAAGAAAGCGCGCAACTGTGTGAGCTGTGGTATTTGCTGTGTGTGGTTAATGCATTTACTTAAAGCAAGTAAAGAGACGATTTTTTGTTGCAGTAATAAGCTGATGTTTTTCAGCCATTGTGTTTTTCGTGCCGCTATATACATGTTAATTACAAAGCCTTGTACATAGAAACCCTTGATTGTCTTAGGTAGAATTTCGTGCGACATGCAAAAAATAACGCAAGGAAGACATAAACCCTCGAGGTACCTGTCTATGTCATTCTACTGAACTTTGCGGCATTTGCGTGAGAGAAAAAACACATCGTTATATCGATAGGTGAGCAGTTAAGTAATATATCGCCACATTTTATATTCATTAGCCCTTTCACTGCTTCTATACTTCTAAGGTGACAAGCGATAAAGAACCATTATTTAAAGCTACCGGACGAAGCAAATATTTACAGAAAGCATTTGGGGTTCAGGGCCACGTTGTTCCGCAAGTACGATTTTGCAGTACTAGCTACCCTCCTTCTACGGCACCAAAGACATTTATCGCCCTGCGTTCACCATCGATCAAACTGATCTGATCACCAACCTTATCAGTGAGGAGCAGCTCCTTTCACTGCTTTACTCTCGAGTGGTCTGTGGTAGGCAAGTCCTGGGTGGGCCGGCACGTTCAAAAGGCGTGCCTGGTGTTGTTTTTGCAGAGCACCATGGATAAAATGAGGAGCATTTCTTTGAGCAAGTTTTATTGAGCAAATTGATGTTCGGGTAGGTGCCGGTTTGAAAAGAAAGCCAGCTTAGGTATTCCTCTTTTGTTCTTTGTGGAGGAGGCTGTAGATAGCCTCAGCTGCAGGATGACCACATACTCACAAGGGACCGATATAGACTTTTCTGAGGCAGTGTCACAAGATGCTTAGTCTGTTGCGTACCCTCAGGCCACACTCTACACCTCCTGTTTCTTCTCATGTCCCTAGTGACAGGGCACCCATGTTATCTTTTGCCGTACTATGGGGACTCCTGTGTATAAAGTACCATTGAGACCTGGTGCAGCGAGGAGAATGATAGTGGTCACACAACCGGCTTGCCTTTTCGGGACATTTCCAAAAGGGCCACTTGAGACTCTGTAAAGGTGTTTAGGAAACGTCTTTGGTAGTGGGCGTTAGCAATGGCCAAAGTGATGGTTGTTCCTTGAATCTACGCTATGGAGGAACCATTGTTGGATGCAGTTGCGATTTCGCAAGGACACTGGTCTTCCACCACGACTACATCGTTATTGCGACTACCTGTGAAGAGCACTGCGACAACGCATTTCATGATCGTCTTATTTGAGTGCCCTTTCCGGATATCCTTGAATCTACCTCCCGTCTACCGCGGGGAATGTGACGTTCCAATTTACGGGTTATGGAGACTACCTTAAAGTGAGCTTGGATTTTGGGTGGAACAAGCTGTTTATGGGCGATGCCTCAAAGGAGGACCAACATGTCCAAGGTGCCGTGATAGGTCCCTGCTTGTAAGGGTCTACATGGGTAGGGAAAGTTAACTCTCACTGGGAACCCTAAAAATAAACTGTTTATCGCTAAACTGCTCTGGCAAAACTTGGATTTCAACAGTGATATATGAAAGTGCATTGACTGGACTGGGATACCTTAGTGGAGTGCAAAACGTCGCAATATGTCACTATAATAAATATGATGAGCATTTAATTAAGGTCTCTTCACTCTTGACAAAGAAGCATTGCGAATATTTTTCAAAAAATCAACCCTCACATTCAACATTTGGCCATCCAGAGGGCCCACGACCTCGCAGTTTGATTTTCGCTGCCATTTCCATCATGAACGAACCCACCGGATCGATTTGGGGGTCGCTGGATACCCCTGCTTTCAGTTCCTCGGGACTGGGTGAAAGTCTTTGTATTGTGACATCAGGCCTCAGGCCTTATCACAAAGGTACAATAGAAGTCACTTTCTGACAAAGTGCCTGCATAACAGAACTTCATTCGTAAGCGTTTAGGACAGGGGTCACGAGCTCGATAGGTAGAGCTCAAAGCCCAGGGCTCCTCTGGCTACTGCCGCCTGCCTTACGTGACCCAGGAGTGCAAGATGTACCTTTGGATTACATGTGCAAATATTTATCTTCGCAGCTTTTGCGCACAACACAGAGAGAAAGAAGCACAATAAGGGACGCATCAGGACCGCACTCAAATGTGTTACCATTTTTCTTCAGTGTGTTTAGGGCTCAAAAACTTGGAAGGTGAGGATATTCTGAGCAGGCCACCTTGTCGTAAATGTACCTGGATGGGTAAACGTGTCTTCCTCAAAAACTTGTATTAGTTTTATATGAAGGTTTGCGCTAAAATAGCTAAAAAACCTTTAGGAACATTTTTGCACTTTGCCCTCTCCCACAACTATAATTTTTAATAAGGTCTAGTTTGGAACACTAACTCTAGTTCAAAATGTGCAGCATAATTGAATTGGAAGGTAACAATTTGGATGCACCTAAAGCAACTCCAAATACCTTATTATTTGTCGTATTGAGGTCGTTATATTATTCTTAAGGACAAACTTTTGAAAATTCTGAAGCTGGACATATCATTAGCAAAGGCTGCCGGCCAAGGAGAGAGGCACAGGACATAGGGAATGATCTATGAAATCTCAGGAAGGTTAGATGTGATTTTTTGAGTATGTGGTACCAATTAGACCAACCATGCGGCTATAGACTTCAGTTGGAGCCAGCAAAAACAAAGTGTAATTGACGTTACGTAAATAATGGTCGCCTATCTTGCGTGTCCTTGCTTGTACTATAGCCACACTTATGCACGTTCAAGACGGATTTGTATACTGTGTTCTCTTGTTGTTTTTTTTCCCTCTTTGTCTCTCGGTTCCTGATCTGCTGCATTGAGTGGTGCACCAACTCGCTCAACGTTGTACAGTCTGCTGAAGGCAGGAGCATTACCAGCGTCACATAGCGTTCTGGCAAGGAAAGTGGAGAGTGGTGAAAGTGGGGATGGTCGAGTTTTTAGAACAACTGCAACCATGCGAGAAATACAATTACTGCTAATTAGCAAAAGGACTCCCGTTTTTACTACATCTTTTCACACAGTGTACTCAGAAATTGTATTTTTTTTTATTCTGCTTGTGCTTTTAGTTAACATGTGCAGTGTGTTTTCCAATAGAGTGATTTGATTGTATTTTCGCCTGTAGACCCACCTCCTCCGAAGAACATGTCACTGGTGGCCGCAGACTGCCCATCGGCGCCTGAGCCGGACTCTCAGAAGAGGTTCATGATTTTCGCCGACATGTTCGACGACAAGAACGGCGCAATAATACATTACGATGTGGTCGTGGGATCCGCAGAGCTTATTGGTAGGTCTTCAGAAGCCCTCGCGAAAGATTGGCAAAACGCATGGTCACAATTTCAGTGAAGGAAGAATAAGACAAGTCGATATTGTTTAAAAGTACAGTACACAGTGCCGTAACTGCGTAAAAGAGCAGTGTCTTACGCAGACTCCGTTCAGTGTGACAGCTTGGCTGCTCTCAGTGCATCTGTCACAAGTTTATGTATTCTTGGCCGTTCAAACTTGTGACAAGCCTATAGTAATGCGTTGCAGCGTTTATTATTTGGTGATATACTACAGAGGTTCACCCGCTCGTAGATTGCTCACCATTAATCGACTTTTATTTATACCTGAAGTGTTAGTGAGGTTGGCCTGTAATATCTACCAGTTTTTCAAGGGTCTGTTCGAGATCATGCCTACAGTATAGCTCACTAATATATGAGTGGTAATTCAACGTGTCTATAGCATTTCTGTGAGAAATATTCACCCGAATTACGAATATCATCATAGTTGTGCGCTTTTTCTATTGGCGTATGCTTGGGATAAACTCTAGCCTATTGCAGTCATCCACTGGTGGAGCAGTAGTTAATGTACTCGGTTGCTGACCTGTACGTCGCGGACTCGATCGGAGGTGCCGCGGTCGCGTTTTGATGCAGGCGAAATGGAAAAGGCCCGTGCACTGCGCGTTGTTCGTGCCAGTTAAAGAACAAGAGGTGGTCGAAAGTCCTGGCGTGCTCCACCACGGCGTCTCTCATAATCATATAGTTTCTTTGGTGACGTAAAACCTTAGGTATTATTATTAGTATTACTAACTAGCATATTATATTTTTTGTGGTACCAGGCTAAGTCATTTCAAAATTTCAGAACTGTAGACTAGCTGTGACACGTTATTTTGCGGATGAAATTGCCTAAAAAGAGCTCTTCGTTGTGTTTTACTTTTTGCACAGCAACAGGACAGCATGTGTTACGGACCGCATTCAAGATACATAAGCTAAATCGACAAGAATTGGCTGATGCGCACGCTTTCACTCGGTTCATTTCTTCATTCTAAATAATGTAGTTTTATTTAACGTTAGATTAAATTGTATATTGAACACTCGGTATAGTTTAGATGCGTCTTTGTGAGCGAATAATGCAAGAGTGTTAGTAAAATCTTGCTGCCCCTGTGTATATACTGTATTGTGAGCTTTTCTTTGCAGATGAAGATATTGAAAATGGTACCACATGGAAAGAAGTTTCCCGATATCAACCTACTCCACCGCACATAATTACGCCACAAGGCTGGAACCCTTTCCTCAAGGGTAAATGTTTTGTTCAACTGCGTCGTCAGATAAATGCTTCAACTCATATTTGTATAAAATATCATGTCAGGTTTGTTAGAAGTGCGCAAAAGCCCCCGGACTGATTTCATTATCTAATACAGAGAGGTAAATACCTAATATACCAACATAAAGTTTATAGTGGTAAGATCACGCTTTTTGTAATAAAGAGAGAAAATAATTATGGTAACTTCACTGCTGATAAACATGGGGGGCTGAAAATCATGGCGCCCAGCTATTCGCATTCGTAACCTTCCTGCTACTTCGTTAACCAAAGCGTCCATGTCGTCAAGAAGAAAGAGTAATGGTAGAGGAACTAAGGAAAGTAAGGCAAGGAGGTTGACCCGATCACGAAAGCCAGTTTGCTACCCTACAAGCGGGGACGTCGTGATGACGTCAATGTCTTGGCTAAGCGTGGAGGATTTCCCGGAACGACAGCGTTTTTTTCTTTTGCACGTCACGAGAATCGGATGCATGTTCCCGGGGAATTTTTAGCAACAATTAGGCAATAACTGTGGTTAATGCTTGGTATTTCCGTGGTTTATATATACTTGGACGTTTTTTGTTGACTTGAAATTGGTATTCAGCATTTATAGCCTTCTTTTGGCCTGTACTGAGCCCTATATTGTGAGTGCTTTCACGCCACACGAGATGTATGCACGCAAGACAAGGCAGGCTCATAAAGTTTTTCGCGTTCCAAAAACTGCAGGTTGCTTGTTGATTCATAAATTTGAATCACAAATCAGGCACCAGTGCAAGTATTGCTAATGCATTCTATTCACAAAATGCAATTTTATATAACGAATTGTAAGTAATAGTTAGGTTCCGACAAGTGGCTGAAGGCATGCCAACTTGAGTAGAATGTTGGCACTTGTGAACTTATCACAGCGTAGCTACTGACTCGCGTTAAAATGACATAACGTGAATATTGATGCCGCTTTTTGCTTTCCAGTCGAACCTAGCGTAAGAACCTAGCGGATTAGAAACCCAATGTGTCCATTGCTTTCTTGTTTCGTTGCTATATTTTTAATCAAGCATGGAATGAATATTTCACGGCATCACAGAGAATCATGGCGAGGATCCGCTGAACTGTGAACCACTTAAGGGCCGAGATGGGACTATGATATGCACCATTGGCAGTGAAATTTGCGAGGACGACCGGGTGACACCCTGCAACGGGCCTCTTAGAGGCGGGACAGAGTACGCGTAAGTAGATGCGAAAAATGTACTTTTAGTTGTCTAACTAATTGGCATGGGCTTGCTCGAACTTCCTAGAGAACAGATAACTCTAACTAAACAGAAAGAATGAGCATCGCATAAAAGCACGGTGAGCGCAAGAACCTTGATATGATTTCGGCAAAATAAATGACTCCAAACACCCGTATTGCTAGGAAAATATTTGTATTTAGAAAAAAGTGCTTTTATATAAAATAGGAAAATCAAGTATTTTAGAAGTTTAGGCAAGCTGGTCACGTTAGTTGTTCGCAGACCTACAAATAGGCAAGCTTGGAAAGGTTGGTCAGGCATCATTATACTCTTAATTATGTCTTACAATATCGCGAGATATATATATATATATATATATATATATATATATATATATATATATATATATATATATATATATATATATATATATATATATATATATATATATATATACAGGCCCGTATACCTTTTCCCTCTCCTTTTGCAATTATAACCAGCTCTTTATGAATGATATGAGTTAGAGTGTAGAGGGGCACTAAGTGTGCTAAGCGGATCATGAGAAAAATGGTGAAGCTGCCGCCTATCGTTTAGTTTTCCCACCCTCCTCCGCGTCGTGCGTTTATTGCTTCACCCGCCCCTCTGTAATAAAGCTACATCGAGGGTTGGTAAACCACTTCGATACGTGGCAGTCAGAAAAGCTGTTGCAGCCACAATTTTTGTGTGCATTATTTTTTTTAGGCATCAGTCCAGGTTATATACAATCACTTGGTATGTGCATTGAAGGGTTCGGTATTCACGGCAACCTGGTTCAGTTTAATTAGGGGATTATAGTAGAGCTCAAAACGCAATGCGTGTAACTCACAAAAGTGATTGTTGGGATAGTTAACAAAACGTTTTTTTTAGGTTTGCTTGAACACATAGCAGTATATTATGTTATTTATGTACTTGAAAGCAAGAACTAAATAGTTCTTTTTTTTAATATAGACACTTCAAGACCTATATGCTTACGTCGCTTTAGCAACGAATATGTATTATCACATAGGTAGTGATTTCCCGACATTTTTATAATTTTTTTTTCAGAATGTACATTATCGGATACACAAAAGGGGGTAGTCGTGCCAGTTACCCTATAGTCTTCATTACAGGTGAGGCAATCGCTTGTTGCTCATTGATATAAATTACACCAGCATTTGGTAGATCGGTTGGCGTGACTGAGACCCTCAGTCTAGTAAAGAAACATCAACGTATCGTAACGTCGTAACGTAGCCTATAAGTAAATAATTGAGTGCTTGACCAAAAAAAAACTAATGTAAAGAAAAATATTAGATAAATACCTAAATATTTTGATAGAAGCAACTTGATTTGCGTACACCAAAAAGGAAGGAAACAGACTTCCATTCATGAATTTTAACTTTGCAAACTCAATTTGGATAGGCCAGATGGAAGCATACAGGCCAAATAATTAATTATTTTATAATATAACCGTAGGCTTTACTTATTTGTCCATGCGAATTGTGTTCAAATAATTTCAAATAATCATTGTGGAAATTGAGAATTATTGCGGAAATATATGCATGAATAAATAAAAATAAAACAAATACATTCGTTAACTGACTAACTTCGCTTGTCATTCACGTTCAGAGAGTGCAATGACTCATCAATTTTTCTTTATATGTTAGCACTTCCAGAGGAGCCTAGTTCTGCAGGAGCAATTGCAGGGGGAATTCTGACAGCCATTATTATAATGGCTGCGATCCTCGCAGTAATAGTGATTCACAGGCGGCGAATGGCACGGTAAGTGAACGAAGTATCATCCCCATAAAAATCTATGTGGATCCTCTACGTCAATGCAAAGAAGTCTTCTACTGTTCGATACTGGTTGATAATGATTGACCCTTGTTGATAACTAATAACATAGCGCATTGCAACTGATACAAAAGACAACGGAAGGGACAAAGAGGACCGATAACTTCCAACAAAATTTTATTTCAATGAGCGTACCTATATAAACTCAAGAAATGCAAAAAAAAAGCCAGCGCTGAAACACCCCAATTGCCAAAAACAATGGTTTTTTTGTTTTTTTTTGCAGTTTGCGTGAATATTTATGTACGGTCATAGAACTAAAATTTGGTTGAAATTTAGCACTCTCCTTTGTCCCTTCTCTTGTCTTGTGTCTCAATATTCACCCGCTACGTTGTTAGTTATGTATTACCGAAACGCCAAACTTTATACTCTTGTCACCTTGTTGATACTTGTTGTAGGCCGCCATGTGGGTGTGTTAAAGCAACATGTCAAAAGACAAACCACACAGAAATTCAGGTGTCAGTAAAACATAAACGTCAGGTTGTCTTTCTCACACTGACGCTAATTTCACTGCTTACACTTTAAAAAGTGTGGCTTCTGCCGCGCATTTCAAAAATGAAAGTTCTTTCGTTGGACAGTTATAACATATAATATGAAGTTACAGAACCATTACACAGTAATGTTCAGCATTTAATAAAGAATACCTGCTGTTTCAGTTATACTGTCTGCAGCAAAATAGGGCATTCGCGTGTGCTTTTAAATTTTTTCGGTCTTTTATATTTCTAGTATTTTAGCGCACAACCAAATAGACAAACTGAAAACTTCAGTTAGAGTTTCTATGTTTAAAATCGCGTGCATTTTACTGACTTGATAGTGTAGGTGCACTACTTTTCTCTAATAAAATTAACCTAATGGTACACACACATCACTCAAACTGTTAGCTAACGTACTTAAAAATTGCCAGCACTTTTAATTATGATTTCGCTAGGCGAATTAGGTCGGCATTATGGCTGGCCTCAAGAATAGTGCACAATACTCTAGGCTACATCATGCTCAAGGTAATAACCACGTCACAACTAATGACCTACCTCTTGCTGTCAACCTTGCACAAGCATTTATATAGGAGGCCTACATGATGAACAGGATGTAGGCATACCTTTGTTATTACTTGATAAGTACAGTATGGTGTACTGTTAAGGAGAACACTCATATACACACCATCAATACTCCTGGACCCTCTAAGAGCAAGTGGATTAAGAAACAATCTTCATGCAACTCACTATTCATTCAAGAGGAGTCGGAACGTTTAGCCACTAGCAGTCTTATGCATATCTAAGCCTCTGTGATTCCGTTAGACATGCTGCTTACGCAGGTGTTCCCTTTAACAGTGGACTCATCTGTACATGTGCAGTAAGTCTTTCTTTTGATACGCAATCACAATAGAGAAAGAAAATGTCGTGAAGTTTTTACACTCAGTGTAAATTTTTCTTCCCAAGGCAGAAGCAAGCGAACTCGAAGAGGTCATCTGCTGATCCATGCAGCATTAACAATTCCCTGATGAATTTGGTACACATGTCCGAGTAAGTTTCTAATTACTTGATTATTTGTTCATGGCAAGTTTTTGTATAATAATGTCCTCTCTGTGGAAGATGAAACAGAAAAGAACATGCATTTACTTATACATATTGCCAGCTCTAGTTCGACCTTTGTTGAAGTACTCATGCACACCTACAATACGGAGTAAGAACTTTGTGATTTGTGCACAAATGCCAGTGAAATAAAGAAGCAACATACAGGTTTATTTTAGAACATGTATAATAAGGCGAAAATAAATTGTGAAGACAATGAATGAACTGTAATAAGACACCTATTTAGAAAAGTAAGCCTACTCTTAGCCTGGCAGAATACTGATAGCAAGAACAAATATATAGACATAGTAAACTTATTATATTCACACAATTTCTTAACAAATCTGCATTTTACGTGTCATTTGAACACGTTGGTCGAGTTACAATCCACTAGCAAGTTTTGATAACGTACCACGTCAAAAAAATGGATTTTATCAGTCTTAATTTATGAAACATTATTACCTTACCAAATGTTGATATCACTGTTGATGTGTACCTTCCAGCATGAATGGTTTGGCGACAAAGCCGAACCCTCCTGCTATGCCAGATGAGCAGATCGAGATGGAACATCACGTCATTAAAGACGTCAACAAGTGAGTAACCACCGTAATAAGAGCAGTGATGAGTTCTGTAGCACTACCCATCCAGGATGCACCCGTACAGAATCCTGCCCAAGCGAGGCCACTCATAATCGACGAACACTCCGCAATCGCACTTATGGACAACTGTTCTGAGGGTAACCAAAACAGGAAAACGAACTTCCTTGGATGTAGTAACTTCCCGGAAAAAGCGAATCCTAACACAGGCCTGGGGTCAACCCATGTGCTCTGCAGTGGTTTAGAATTGATTGAAACATAAGGGACGCCAGCAGCCATTACCATTCCAGCAAGCGAGACATATAGAGCTTCTCGCCTGCATAAGACAGTGGAATTTGCCGTACAAGAATATGTCGGTGTCACGTGTTTGGAGCTGAAAAATTTGAACAGCCCAACGAATTTCTCCATACGTTCCGACTTTTCTGCTTCACAAAAATTATTTACATATAAAAAAACTACGCCGAAAGAGACGAGGCAGGAGCGAAACTAGCAGAACAGTCACTACCCTTTTCATTTGTTCCTGAGGTTCTGCTTCGTCAACATCTGCGCTGTTCATTTTTTTTCAATTAAAGGAATTTTGACAACGGCAGGCCTATGAAAAAACTTTCTATTTCAGACGCGAACGATAAAATTTTACTTTACAAGTGGCCTCGTAGTTACCAAAGCTCTGAGAATGTACTCGCTCTTTGAAACTCTTTGAACGTATTCGCTCTTTGAAAGAAAACTGTAGTGAGCCTCTCACACAAGGTTGAAGGGAAAGTGCACCACTTTGTTGCGGGAGTACTTTTTTTCATACCTGGTAGCATGGCCGGGCTAGAGAGAAGATGCCACGCGGGTGTAGCATCTTCACCAGCCTGGAAGTGACGCGCCAGGCTGGTGGAGGCCAGGCTGAAGGTATGAACGCGGGTCGTGTCGATACCCCCATCGTGGCTGTTGTCGGAATTACCTGTTGTATTCTATCAAGACGTGTTTTATCATCTGATTGATCACCACTTGCATACTATCGGTACAGGAGGACGCCAGCCAGTCGTCAAGTATATCAGTTCGAAAGACGCGTAGAAGTGGAACTATGCTCACTTGATTAGATTATAAGGGTGTTGCTCGCCAAACGATTCCGCAGTATACGAGCATGAAGTAACGGTTTCAGGTTTACAAACTGATTCTCTGGGTGCCTTGTGGTTTCTATGCCAAATATTTTTATGCACTCGGGTTGTCGGCGGCTTCCTTCGATTTATTCTGTCACGGTAAAGCAAGGGGAGAGTAAGACGGCATGTTGTTTCTGCATTCGCTCCGTAGATATGCTGTGATTTTTTTGAGTAATCCATGGAAATATTTCAGTTGAATAGCGTATTGCCTCACAAATTCAACGCCGCAAAAGTTATATGAATTCGTGCAGTGTGAGCGTAGTTACAAAGATTTGTCACACGCTGCGATCGCATTCTCTTTTCTCTCGTCTCGACGAAAGCGCTGGAAGCTAAGCAGGGAGGGAAGGGAGGGGCACACAAATAACGTCAGGCGCGCTTCGTGACATTGAACACTTTTTTTTTCATCGAATACGCGGCTTTTTTAGTGTGATCACGCGCACACGAGTGGACAAGTGACGGCCTCTCGCAGCGATTTCTGTAACAACTGAGTGCGCCATGTTCAAATTAGCCAATGGCTTATAGATGGGTCATCTACGTGTAATTTCTGGGCGTATTCCGTGTTTGTCAAGAAAAGCGGGAGCAATTTTTAGCTAATTTTGATAATTTATTGCGAGTTTCAGGCCACGTGCTGCGCTATAACATTTCGCTCTCGTGTTTTCGGAAGTCTCTACTACTGATTGACGGCGCTTTTTGACCATGCTCAAAAAGTGTTGAAGGACCCCTTTAAGGCACAGGCTTGTCTGCCATAGTTATCTGTTGTAGCCATCCTAGTATGCTAAGTGTTCACTGGATGGCGCTGGCATCACTCGCATCGTTCGAGATGCTTCAACAGACAGACAGAGAGACAGAAGTACGGAAGGAGGAGCCCACAGACAGAGACATACATACAGACAGATAGATATACGTACGCACAGACGTACGGACAAATGGACATACAAACGGACAGACAGACTATGAACGTACGAACGGGTGAACGGAGGATTCGCGGTTTCCCGATGAAACCCTCTGGAGCTTCACCCCGTCTATCTTCATTCACTCCGTAGGTACACTGTTTTAAAGGCGAAGCTCCTTGGAAGCCAACCTTGGCTGGCGATGTATCGGCGTCCACACTCATATCAGAACCCCTGCTACACGCCTGTGAAGAAGCAACCTGTGCCATTCATCTGTCAGTGCGTCTGGAAGCCCATCCACTTGTCCGTAATGCGTTATCTGTCTGTTTGTCCATTATAATAGTCGGCAACTTCTATGTGGACATTGTGAATCTTAGCACCTAGGTTCGCACACTGGTCCTCATTCACTCAGTGGAGATGCACGAATTTTTACATAGAAAGCTGCTATGAGATCACAACAAGGGTCGAGTGCGCCGTAGTTGTCCGCCGCTGCCACCGGTGTCCATAACTACTAAAGAAAACACTAAGTAAATAAAAACAAAAAGAACACAACAGTATTCGCACCCGGGTGTCTGCGTGGAAGCTCAGTATTTAACTGTAGAGCCATACCGGTGTTCCTTTTAAAATGCGAAGCATGTCTTAGCGAACTTCAGCAACTTTAAGCGTATCTATCTATCTATCTATCTATCTATCTATCTATCTATCTATCTATCTATCTATCTATCTATCTATCTATCTATCTATCTATCTATCTATCTATCTATCTATCTATCTATCTATCTATCTATCTATCTATCTATCTATCTATCCGCCAACGACTCTTAGCTCTCCTAGCCATTTCGATAATGCTATCGATACCAAACTTGGTGTGCCATAACATGACTGTATTAAGAACATATTTGACTAGTCTTAAAAAGAAAATTACGCTATGCATGGCATGAATGTCATGATTTACATTTCATGGTCCTGAAGCTCTTGCAGTGGTTTCATTCACATGGCATGTTGCAAAACTGCTATGGTATGGCATTAATGCATGTCGAACACAAGCGACAGACCCTAACGTGAAATTCATGACATGCGTGTCATGTAACAACATGACTACATGCCAAGCTCATGATGCGCTGGCGGTCGTTTCGCTAGCTTCACTTACACCAAATTTGGTATTACGGGACGTAAATGGATGATGAAGGTATACTGGTGCAAACATGATGAGATGCGTGTAATGTAACAACATGACTACATGCTATGCTCATGATGCACTCGCGGCAGTTTCGCTAGATTGACATGTACCAAACTCGGTATTACGTGACATGAACGGACGACATAGGTAAATGACACATGCAATCATGACAATCATGACATGCTTGTCATGTAACAACATGACTTCATGCAACACTGATGATGTGCTGGCGGCGATTTCACTAGCTTCACATATGCCAAACTTGGTGTTACGTGAGGCCAATGTACGGCGAAGGTATGTGACTGATGCAAACATGATAATCATGAGATGCGTGTCATGTGAGAACATGACTGCATGCCACAGTCAAGGCACCAATACATTTTGACGTGACGCGGTGCGCGTGCTTACTGGCGTTCATGTCGTCGCGTCCCGCCGGCGTTGCCATGCCAGGCGCCAGTGCTGGCATATACTCGCAGGCACGCGCCACGCTGCGTTGCTTTGACGCACGCGCATTTCAGCGTGTCCGGCGTCCCTCCGCAACAAAAAGAGAGAGACGCAGCGTTGTCTGGGTAACGCATCGGAGCGAAACGCAGCATGTCGCACTTCTGGCCGGTTGTCGTCAGGCCGGTGGTGGTGAAAACATTTAATAACCATTAAATGGTTACAGAGAGGTAATTGGGTTGGGGCCTTATTGGCCTCCTACCCTCACAGCACTAGGTGGAACCCCTATTCCGGGGCTCCATTGGCAAGCAACGCTGCCCGCGCACGTTGAACCAGAGCCTCTTGGGCCTTCAGGTCTTGACAGCCGAGCAGGGCCGCCTCCCAGTCCTCTCTCGTGGGATTGGGGTTGGGGGGGATAGATGGATTAGACTGGCACGCCCAGACGATGTGAAAGGTGTCAGCCACCTCACCACAGAACTGGCACGTGCCATCAAAGGATGAATTGAAATGTTTTAGCACCGCCGGGCACAGTACAGTATTGGTAAACAGTTTTAAAAGGAGGCGCTCGTCAGCGCGATGCAGTCCCTTACAAGGGTCTGGATAGCGCCGGTGCTCCTCCTTGCAGTAATTGGTAATATCTTTGAATGAAAGGGCCGAATTGTCTGATTGCGAGTAGGCTTCCAAAGACAGGGAGATAGCCCGGGAAGAGAGTGCGCGGGCGGCCTGATCGGCCTGTTCGTTACCCCTGAGTCCTTGGTGACCGGGTGCCCAAACCAGATTTCGCGGAGTTGGATTAACGTATCGGCAGCTAGGTTCCAGTATGCGCTGAGCAAGCGGTGAAGCCCACCCTAGCTGATAGTTCCGACAGGCCCCTCGTGAGTCGGTGATGATATGTTTAGAAGAGGGATAGGTGAGAGCCAGAGCGATGGCAACCTCCTCCGCGTGTGTTGCGCTGTAGGCTTTGAAAGTGAGCCCGTTTACGGTGTTTGCGTTGTGTATGACTGCGGCGGTATACCACCCCCCATGGTGCGGGCCGGCAACGTCCACGTAGCACACGTGTTCCTCTTGACCAAAGTGTCGCTGCAACGCTTCCGCGCGCGCCTGGCGGCGACCACTGTGGTTTTCTTTGGACATGTTGCGGGGAAGGGGTCGGACCCGGAGGGCGCGTCTCCAAGGTTCTGGCACTCTCACCCTTTCCTCAATATAGTAATCGTGTTTGATGTGTATTCGGTCCAAGAGGCGGCGACCGGAATGGGTCTGTGCAAGGCGCGTGTATTGGTTAACGAGGTGGGCTTCTCGAAGTTCCCTCGTCAGGCCGCGCCGACGGACGCTCGTCGCGCC